GGCCATATAATCTTCGGTTTTAAGAACGATATCAAGTCGTTGGAGTACTTCTTGCTGAATCCAAAGTTCTACAATGAGTTCAAGAGTCTTGTGGTCGTTGGAGAATACGGCGTAGGGAAGACAGCATTGTGCCAGATGATCTTCAATAATGAAGATGTGAAGAGTGTTTATGCCCCAAGGATTTGGGTGTCTACGCACAGCAGTGAATCGGGGGAAGGCCTTGATGGGAAGATACATGTGTTGAAGAGGATCTTGGAGGGCTTTGGAGTTGAAGATTCCATGTTGGCATCTATCAGAACAGAGGCGAAAGACGAGTGCATGTTCAGGCAGGAAGCCGGAGAAAGTGATGGAGAGACGGCGAAAGAGAAGGAGCTCGCTGCTCTGCTCTATGCACTTCACTTGAACCTCAGGTGGAAGAACCGAAGAAGTATCTGATTGTGTTTGATGATGTGCGAGAAGAAGACAAATGGGACGAGAAGCTTGATGAGAAACTCAAGGGGGATGAGAAATGGGGAAAACATCTTTCAGATGGATTCCCTAAAGGGTCTGGTGGGAGAGTCATATACACGACAAGGGACAAAACACTGGCGAAGAAGCTAGTTTCAGAGGAACATGAGATCCATCGTCTGTGGCCACTGACTGATTATGTGAGTGTCTGGAAGATATATGAAGAAGCGCTCAAAGAGAATAGGACGGAGCCTCCAAGGAATAGCAAGAAATGCGTAGAGGAGCTGATGAACAAGTCTCGTGGTCTTCCTCTAGCTGCTAGACTTATAGCTGAGATTAATCCCATGTTTGACGACGATGAATATACTGAGCAAAACGATTTTACCTGAGGTAAACCAACCAAGAAATGAGACAACAGCCCCATTTCAGAACAGAACAGAACAAGTCAACCTCTGCCGGCTTGAGAAGATTGAAGAGCCGTTTTCCATTGTGTGATCAAGCTTGTTTTTTTGTTTCTTCTATGTGTTTCTGGTATAATGTTGTCCGTTCGGTCACTCTGTAATCAATAATCCAGAATCTATGACTAGAGTTTCTTGAATGCAAACAATGTTTCTTGCACAGAATTGAGTTTTTACCAGAAGAATTAAACAGATACATAGTTCCTTGTTTACCTTCTTTTGCATCTGCAGTTTATCAAACTTGCTAACGCTTAGACTCTCTGAGCTTGTAGAAATAGACATCAAGGATCTTCTCAGTTAATTATAAAACCTTTCTTATTCCTTCATGGCTTCTTTAGAACCACAAGTATCACAGAATAAAGCAAAAGATACATTCCAAACTCAAATTTTCCAAATGTTCAGAAACAACGACCCCTTGAAAGTTGAAAGCCAAATGAGGAACACATCAGTCGAAAACAAGGAAGCAACACACAGCAACAACAAAAAGGAATCTTGAGGGAATTTGAGAAAGAAAAAGAAAACATAAAAAGGTTCACTTTTGAATTGCTAGGAGATATGTTATTCAGGAGCTTGTGCCATCAATTCCATCACTGGGACAGAAATTAACTAGCTAACTTGTGGAAAGTACAGTTCGATCAGATCCCTATACTCCACTTTACCCTGATGGTATCATATCTCTAGGCACGTTAGCGGAAGCTGAGAAATTCTCAACATATTGAGAATCGAGGAACATGAAATGGAAGAAGTGATGAAATCCATTCGGTTCCAAGGGATTTCAAAGAAAAATGAAGCAAATACGAGCTGCTTGAAGCAGCAGCATTGTCCAAAGAACTTATACGTAGAATGGCTAACCTCAGACTTGTAGATGAGTTGAGTTCATTAGCAAAAGTGGCACTGAAGCTAAAATGGATGTAAGGGGAATTGATTGAGTTGCACGTATCAGTTTCTTGTGTTTTGATTACTTTGTGCACAACTTGAGCTAACTTATGTGTTTTGTGAAGCAATTTCCAATATGAACTATAAATCTCACCACTGTGTTCACAACTTTAATCAATTTAGTATAAACATGAAAATGCAAAGTTAAGCAATTTAGTCAATTTTCCCGCCTTTTTCCATCTATAAGCTCGTTACTGTCTCCGTCTTCCGATCGGCGACGGGACGGAGATGACTGGAGAGTGGAGAGAGCCATCGTGCCCAAAGAAACACAGAGAGCCACTCGTCTCGTTCGATCGCCCTTAGGCTGCTGGAAGTCTGGTACGAATTGCAAAATAGCTTGGCCCAAGCCCAAGACCCAAATGATCATACCTCTAGCATTTTTTTTCTTTCTTAGATCTCACCGAGCCTCTGATTAATGACTATGATAAATTGTTTGGGTAAAAAATTACCAGTATTCGGTCGTTAGCTTTTTTTTGGCCTGATTGGATGTGGCTGTGGCTTTAATTTTTAGTGCTGTAAGATTTTTTTATTTTGTAGATTGTGTATTTAATAAAATATTAAAACAAAAAAAAAAATATAGAAATAAGAGATTAAAAAAAGAATATAGACAAAATAATAAGGAAAGAGAAGAGAGAGAATTTAGAGAGCACTAAATTTAGTGCTCTAGAAAAATTGCTTTCCACAGCTACGGAACTTCCATAAATAAATAAAATTGCTCTATGTTTCAAAAATGGAAAGAAATAAAATGAGAGCATGATTGATAATTTTGGAGTGTTGCAGATAGATATAGAGCTGTGGAGAGCAACCACAGCTCCCACCAATCATCCCTTTTGTTTGACCAGAAGTTGTGTGGTCTTTTTCTATTCATTTCCTTTGATTGAGTGTAGATAAAAAAAACTTAAATTTTGATGAATGAATATAACAAAAGTGTAACTGAAATGTAAAGTTTTCATTCTTTTCCTCTTCTAAATCTTTCTCCAAATTAAGGTTTAGACGTTAGAGGTATTAGATTGTTGTGGTGGTTCACAACTTCACATCTCTATGTCCATTTATCTTTTGTCGGCCACATCTGTATATGTTTAAAGAAAGACATTCATGTTTTGTCTAAACTAAAAACTTGTATTAATATAACCTTTTATCTGGGTTTCAACTTATGGTATCATCTCTTAGCTGTCACTATCAAAAATTTGATGTATTTAAAAGTGTGTTACCACTTTGAAATTAATTGGCAATACAATGATAACATTAATACAAACTATACTATGTTACAGACTTACATGTCCTGATTGTTATTTTACACATTTAAACAATCAAAAGAAATTTTACAAAATTGTCTAACATCTAATCTTATAGTTTCTTCAGATATAGACCAACAAAATTTCTCCACACGAAGCTCAAGAAAAATAGTTGCATTTAAGAAACTCTACTTACATATTCTGGTTTAGTTGGTTTATTACAAACAGGCGACATCCAACAAAAACACACATACAAGAAATCAAGAGAACAAGATCAAAGTTGATGATAAACGATTCTCAGATACTATCTGGGTCGGTTGGTCCTTGCCTAGAACCGTTCTGCTCAGTATTTTCATCGTCAACAAACACGGGATCAAGCTTGGCCATAAGTATAGCAGCTAGAGGAAGACCACGAGACTTGTTCATCAGTTCATCTATGCATTTCTTGTCGTTTCTTGGAAGCTCTTTCCCTTTCTTGATGACCTCTGCTTCATATATCTTCCAGACACTCTGAGGATCAGACAACGGCCAAAGACTATGGATCTCATGTTTCTTTGCAACTAGCTTATCCGCCAGTGACTTATCCCTGGTCGTGGATATAACTCTCCCACCAGACCCTTTAGGAAATCCATCCGAAAGATGTGTTCCCCATTTAGTTACCTTGAGTTGGTCCTCATCGAGCCTGAGCATCTCGTTCCAGTTATCCTCTTCTCGCACGTCATCAAACACAATCAAATACTTCTTCCACTTTAAATTCAAGTTAAGTACATAGAGTAAGGCAGAGAGCTCCTTCTCTTTCGCTGTCTCTCCAATAATCTCTCCAGCTTCCTGCTTGATTGCAGCATCTTCTACTACCTCGCTGTAGATCGAATCTTCAACACCAAGACCCTTCAAGATCCTCTTCAGTACAAATACTTTGTTATCTTCTCCTTCCTTTTTCTCTTTGCTATACATAGAAATCCAAATTCGAGGGGCATAAACGCTCTTCACATCTTCATTATTGAAGACCATCTGGCACAATGTTGTCTTCCCTACGCCGTATTCTCCCAAAACCACAAGGCTCTTGAACTCCTTGTAGACCTTTCGATCCAACAAGAAGTTCTCTAGTGACTTGATCTCGTTCTTAAAACCAAAGATTTCGTTTTCTGAAAGTGCAGACTCGGTTTCCACACGATCCTCCTCCATGACTAGACTTTCTGGGATCGACTTATGGATCCATTCTTCATATTTAGCAACGAAATGTCGTGTGGAGTCGCCTTTGTCTAATCCGTTTGAATGTGATGTACTTTCTGGAGCCATCATCAAGCAAATCTAAAGAAAAAAGAAAGATCTGCAAGTGATATCAGTACCAACTTTTGCCTTTTCAAGGATAAGAAGATGAACAAGTATATAAAAAAAGGAAAATGGGAGAGAGAGAGAGAGAGAGAGGTGTGGAAATTATAAAGAAAGACCATGTGCTCGTCTATACGTTTGTAATCGTAGCGACCTCTTGCTTTGTTGCGTTTATAAATTTTGAGGTTTTCTACTTTTAAAATGAACAATGTAACCTTCGCCGGCTTTATCTCGTTGTTTGCTAAGTTTTAATGCTTTATAAGGGTTTGCATAAAAACTTGAAAACACCATATAAGTTGAAACAAAAAAAAATTACCTTAGACATCTTATATTATGAAACAGATGGAGTAATAAAAGTCTCATGAACAAGAAGATGAATTCATGAATAAAAATTAAAATTAAAGTTCTTCATAGTTTTATTGTTTCATCCTGCGGAAACATGCACTACAAGATTCATAACCTGTTTAATGTTGACTGTGAGAGAAAAAATAAAAAACGGAACGGGGATAATATAAAGGGCTATTTCATAATCTGTATGGAGTTCCGAGATCATTTCTTTGGCATTAGCTTCATCTCGCAGACCATCCTCCTATTAGAGCCAAGGATGTTCTATAAACCACAAGGATTGCTAGTTAGAGACGACCATAAAGTCAGCAGTCAGCACTAACATTTGATACACAACAAGATAAGACTTCATGATTGACATGTGTCATTTTAAGGCCTACACAATGGACTAACAATCAAGCTAATATGGAATATTTCAGTTTGGATGCTTCAGAATCACAAACAACTAGAACATACAGGGATTGGTTGTAGAACAAAGGGGCTTACCAAGAGCCTGTGCAGCAGAGATTCGTTTCTTTGGGTTTGGGGTGAGCATCTTCCTGATAAGGTCTTTTGCGCCCAAAGATATAGAAGGCCATGGTTCGCAATCAAGATCAACTTGGCCTCTCTTAATCTGTATTGCTACAAGGAAGAAGAGCATATGATTAAAGTTCATATCCCAAGGTATCCAGTATTAGTAAGCTAAGCTTTTACCATTTTCGAATGGGGTTTTGCCACTGAGTAAAAGGTATGCAATGACACCTACACTCCAGACGTAATTTTCTTTCCCGTAGCATCCTAGTAATGCTTCAGGTGAATTGGTGCCCTCGCCGACAATATCCTCACAAAAAGTTCCTGTAATTGTTTAGAATATTAATCTGAGAAACAGACTAACTAAATATGGCATACTTGACAATAGGATCACATCTTTTATAAAGAACAAAATAAAATAATATATCTTCAAATCCTACGAATAAATTTAAAAATCTACATGACTGGTAATGAGCCTGGAAATGTAAAGCAGATTCTCGATACTAGAGAGCCTTCCGGTTTTGAGTCCTACGTCCTACATCTATGCATTGGATCATTACGTCACCAATTTAAGCAAGAAACCAAAAAACATTCATGGCAAGCTTATAGACTCCAAACAGGCAAACATTAAACATAACTATAAATTCACCCAAAGAGGTCTTATGTTCACTGTACGGCTCACCTTCTCTGATGTAAACAGAATACCTGAAACCGATTGCTTTGGCCACAATCACATCTTCCCCCTCAGCCCTCGATAACAAGAAGTGATGGAGGTCGATGTTACGATGAATCACACCCTTCGAATGACAACTCTGCACAGCCTTCAGAATCCAACTAATCATTGGAGCAGCTTGTTTCTCCGATAGATAACTATCGCTCTTATAACGAAGACATTCTTTAATACTTTCCATCACTATGTGTACGGATTTCATATCCTCGTAAGAACCCTTGATCTGTACGATGTTACGCTCTCCTAACAAGTGATTCAGAATCTGAACCTCATTCTTTACACACTCTCTATCTTCATCACTCTTTAGCGCCGTCTTGGGTATGGATTTGCAGGCGTACTTGTTGCCTGTGGAAATTTCCGTGCACTCGTAGGTCTTCCTATCTTTACTTTCGCCCAGTAGTCCCCCGAATCTATAAAGCTTGTTGATGTCTTGCAATGGCTTCCCCAGTATGGTCTCTGGCTCCAGAGCAGAGACGAGATCCGACGGTGTTTGGATTTTACTTGCCTGGATACCCATTTATCTTGAGTGGAAATTTTCCGAGGATTTCATTAAACACCAGGATTAAGAAGATGAGCTTGGAGGATGAAGAAGATACTGAAAGTCAACGACTTTTTAAAAGTTGCATCAAATGGTTCCAAAGAAAACAACACCTAGGAAAAGCAAAAACTGATAAAAATTTGATGAAAAATTTGTTAAAGTTTAGTTTGTTTCACTAATAATTATTGCTATTTTATCTGTTATACTTCACATATGTCAATTGTATCACACACACTTGTCCATATATTATTGTCCATTTTTTTTGCATGCTTAGTTTGGTCATCTTTAATTGTAACTTTTGTTAAACAATGTAAAACTGTTCACCTGGTTTTTCTTTTGTTAAATTTTTGACCCTCTTTTGTGTAAGGTGTAATCCTAGCCGTTGCACCACTTTTATACATGAATCTTATTGGTGATTCTTTGTCCCTAAATGTAAACTGTTCTCATCAGATCTTTCAAAAACAACATTTCTATAATGTTTGGAACAAAAACAATAAAGGAAAAATTGGCAAAATGGGCACATTTCAAGTTTTTAATTGGGAAAAGAGGCAACACCAAGTTTATATTGGTCAAAGAGGCAATTCTTGTGGACCCCGCCTGAGAAATAACAAAAGGACCCTTTAGAGAATAAGATTATTTCAACTATGCCATTGAGTGTGGACCCCGCCTAAGAAATAACAAGAGGACCATATTTTAATTCTCTTTTACTTTTGTTTTCATTTATTTTCTAACACTTTTAATATCAATTACTTTTTACTTTATTATTCAACTTTTTCTCTCAAAAATTTATCAATTTTCATTTTTAAGTTTTGAAAACTCTAAATTTTTTAATAACTAAAGATTTTGATTTTGGTTTTGGCTTTTGGATTTTGATTTTTGATTTTGTTGTAGATTTTAGTTTAAAAAAAAATTTAATAGTAACTATTTTAATTTTTGGTTTTCATCTACAATTATTTTTCAAAACGTTTTCATTTTAATCTTATGTGTTTTACATTACTAAATTAATAAATAATATTGTATTAATAAAAAAACATGTTATATAATAAATTTAAGTTGAACAAACTCATTATAGCACATTATTGTAGAGATATTCAGATAAATGGAGATGATTTTTTTTTCTTTTAAATTACTAAAGTAAATTTGTAAAATGTACTAATAAACAAAGATTAGTTTTTATAGAAATAATTATTTCCACAAAATTAGAGAAAAAATCATAAATCATGATAATGTTTTTTATTTTCTCTCATGCTATCACTATTTTTCCCCTTTCATACCATATTTACATTCATATCATAAACTTTAAAAAAAATTATAATTTATATATTTGGGTCTGGGTTTAGTATTTTGGGTGTAGGGTTTAGTATTTATGATTTAGAGTTTAGTATTAAAGGTTTAGAGTTTAGTTTTGATTGTTCAATTAAGTTATAACTCTTAAAAGGATTTATTATTTCAATATTTGAGTTTGAATTTTGGGTTTAGGGTTTAGTATTTAAGGGTTAGGGTTTAGTATTGAAGGTTTAGGGTTTAGTTTTAATGTTTTAGGGTTTAGTTTTGATGGTTTGAATTTAGGGTTTAGGGTTTAGTATTTAGTTTGAATGGTTTGGGTTTAGTTTTGATGGTTTGAATTTATGGTTTAGTATTTCGTTTTTATGGTTTAGGGTTTAGTTTTTATGGTTTGAATTTTGGGTTTCGTATTTAGATGGTTTGCATAAAGTTATAACTCTAAGAAGGGTTTAAAATTTTAATATTTGGGTTTGAATTTAGAATTTAGATTTAGTATATAAGGTTTAGGGTTGATGGTTTCAGGGGAATTTTATGTTTATGGTATGAGATGGAAAAAAACTAGTGACTGACTAAGAGTAATTAAATAACATTTTGGTTGTATATGTGAGAATTGCCCACAACAATAAGACATTTTTATATGTGGAGAAGAGAATTATAAACTTTTGAGAAGTGTCTTGTTTTTTAGTATTTAGGATGTAGGGTTTAGTATTTATGATTTAGGGTTTTTAGTAAAGGTTTAGGGTTAAGTATTTAGGGTTTGGTGTTTAGTTTAGATGATTTAATTAAGTTATAACTTTAAAAAGAGTTTAAAATTTAAATATTTGGGTTTGAGTTTATAATTTAGGGTTGAGGATTTAGTATGTACGGATTATGATTTAGTATGTAGGTTTAGGGTTAGTTCTGATGGTCTCAAGTGAATTTTATGTGTTATGGTATGAGATGGGTAAAAAACTAATGATGTTATGAGAGTAATGAAAAAACATTTTGGTGGTATATGAGAGAATTGCCAACAAAAATATGACCGGCGGACTGGTGTACGGTGCTAAAACGCGTACACCACGGACTGGTGTACGGGAACAAAACGCGTACACTACGGATTGGTGTACGGGCCAAAACGTGTACACCACTGCCTTGTGAACATACGAGAACAAAATGCGTACACTGCAGACTGGCGTACGGTGCCAAAACGCGTACACCAACATAACGCGCAGAAAAAAGACTAGTGTACAGGATCAAAGCGCGTACACCACTCATGGTGTACGGTATCAAAACGCGTACACCAAGTTTACCCCACGGTAGGGTTTTAGGGTTAAGAATTCAAGTTTAGAGTACATATTACAATTTTAGGGTTTTATGTTCATGGCTGAAAACTAAATTAAATATGATTTTTTTTGTATTACACTAATATGTTAGGGTTTATATATATTATGGTTATTTTTTAAAATTTCAAGTTTAGGGTTTTAGGTTTTAGGGTTAAGAGTTCAATTTTAGAGTTTGAGATTACAATTTTAAGGTTTATGTCATGGTTAGGATTTAGGTTATGGGGTTTAGGGTTTAGCTTTTGGGGTCATTGTTAGATTTTAAGATTTAGAGTTCATATTTTTGGTTTAAAGCTCTTTTACTCAATGAAAAAAATGTAGTTTTGAAAATAAACACCACAGAGGTGTAGTTTTGAAAACTGACATCTAAAAACTGAAAAAAAGTGTAATTTTGAAATTTTCCCATTTAGAGTTCTTAAAATCCTATTTAGGGTTTAGGGTTTAGGATATAATTGTGAGGTATTAGGGTTTAAGTTCTTTGAATTAACTTGGTAACAAAGTCTAAGATTTAAGAAAATATGTGAACTGAAATGTAAGAACATCATAACAGTTTTTAATAGTTTTTTTTCTCTAAATATACCTAAAACTAAAATAAATGTTATTCATTTTTTTTAATACACTAGCATGTTAGGGTTTAGATATTATCGTTAAATTTTTAAAAATCAAGTTTATGGTTTTAGGATTAAGAATTCAAGTTTAAAATTCGAGATGATAATTTGGGGTTTATGTTGATAGTTTAAGATCTATGTATATTATTTATGTTTATAACAAAATAAATGAAAATGTTCAAAAAAAATATTTTTTTAATATGTATATCGTAATATGATACGCATGTTTTAATTAGATATATGAATCAAATTTTTTTTAAAAAAGAAGTAAATTTACTAAAAGTAAGAAAGGGAATATTATTATTTACATTGTTTGTTTGATTTTGTTTCTTATTATATCACAAATGACATATTTTTCCATATTATTATGTTTCTATTATGTGAACCACAAATTTTGATGACATGGCAAAAATAATTTTCTTTATATCTACTTTTTCAACACTTTCTCTCTCCAACGAAAATAAAGTTTAGAAAAGTGGACCCATTCTCTCTCCTTTCAACTCTCTATCTCTCTCATAGACACAAGGTTAGTTTTGTATTTAAAAAATTTTCTCTCTCCAATTTGCCTCTTTTCCCAATATCAAACATGGTGTTGCCTCTTTTCACAATAAAAACTTAAAAACTGCCTACTTTCAAAATTAACCCAACAATAAAAAAAGGGTCTTATACACTCACAGAAGGTCTCAACAGTCAACACCATGTCTGGGATTCTATAGCAGAAAACACCTTAGAAAAGGAAAAAGGAAAACCGCTAACATGATGTTACCAAAGTGGGTCGTTACTCAACACAAACAAACGTAGATGATTTCAGATGCATTGTACCAGACTCTGTAAGTAAATCTTGCTCCGGCCAACTTCTGCTAACTTCAATCCTTTTTTATTAATAAAAAAACGCTGCATCAGCCATCTTCAATCTGGTGGTGATGCTTCAATGCAATCTCACGTGATACAGTCCTGCAAATAAATACACAGCTGAATATGATGCAGTAGATTTTTGACAATGGAAGTGTTCCTCTCTTAAGTATGCATATGCATTAGATAACTACGAAAGTTCCTTACTCTACCAATCATAACAAGCAAAAGAGGAAACAGCAAGAGTATCATATTTGAGAAAGACATTAGAGTAGAGAGTCGCACATACTGAGCCTTTGAGATTTTCCTTTGTGGCATAAAGCTTCGGGCAATTCGTCTTACTGAATATCTTGAGATTAGGTAGTTTGGCTCTGACAGCTGATAACGCAGGCAACTCATGAAGGCACAGGGTAGTGAGAGTAGACACTTTGCCTTCTTCTTCAAACACTTTCTCCAGCTTCTCACAGAACTTTATATGCAGGACTTCTAGGCTGCTAGGCAGCTGAGATGCCTCCGGGAAAAGCGTTTGGATTTTCGGACAGCAATCTATGCTGAGCTTCTTTAGAGTCTTGAAGCTACCACCACAGTTTATACTATCCAACAGAGGAAGGTTTGTAATGGACAGAGTCGCCAGTGATCCCAAACGTTCCTCATCCACACCAGAAAAAAGGTCTTTTACATCCATGCACATCCTTAGCCAACAACCCTTTGCCGATATGATCTCGTTAAGGATATATATGAGCCTTGGGGAGCTACAGTCCACAAAAGACACAAACTCGGCATTAGCTAAAGCTTCCTTGTCCAGATCTCGAGAACCACCTAGGCCATTAGATTCATGGATCTCCAAAACTTTCAGATGACTTTCAGCATCAACAAATGGTATTGACTTATAATATAGACCCACGTATACAGGATCCTGGCCAAAACATTCCCTGCTGATACCTCTTTTCCCGGGAAAATCACTGGAGCAAGGTTCATTTGAATGAATTTCTCTTTCTTCTTTGGGATCCATTTTTGAGATTTCTTGGGATTTGACGACTACACCAGAGCAGCTAGCATTCTCAAGCATCTGAGTTGTTATGGCCTTCGTTATTTGACCCCAGATCTCACTCTCGAGAAAACTACAATCTGCAAAAATAATGCTTTTTCGACAACAGAGTTTGCTCTTCTTTGGCAACTTTGGTGGAATCTTCAATTTAGTGCGAGAGAGGCTTACTTCACGCAGGTATGACATGTCCACAAATGATCCCTCAACCGTATGCAACTTAGTACAGCCGGTAACATCAAAAACCTCGAGATTGGTGAGGTTTCTAATATTTGGAAGAGCTTCTAGATTGGGACAATTCCTCAGGATGAGCTCACTGAGGTTGGATAGCTCTTTGATTGTGGAAGGCAACTGGCGAAGATTAGTGCCTGACAGATTAAGAATGATGAGTTCCTTCTTATCCTCCAAGCATAATTCCGACATTCTCACTAAGCTGGTAGTCCCAGAAAGATCAAGAATTTGGAGACCTGACAGGGGCTTCAGATTAGACAACTTTCTCAACTTGCTACAGTTTCGCAACAAGAGGCGAGTCAAGGAGTGAAGCTTGGCGGCCACCGCAGAGTCCTGAAACATTGGTAGTCGCTCTATTTGGCTCTCGGAGAAGTCAAGAAGTTGAAGTTTTGTGAGATGATAAAAGTTCTTGTTTTTGTTTTCGCCTGTTGCTTTGTCGAAATTAGTTTGAAGTCCACGAGCACCAGAAACATCAACAACCTCAAGATTTACCAGTTCTTGTATGTCTGGCAAATCTTCCAATACAGGACAATCCCTAATTATGAGACGATGAAGTCCCTTTAGCTTAGAAATGCTGGAAGGGGAATATTTGATCTGAAGTCCAGAGAGGTGAAGACTTTGAAGACCAGGCATTGCCACAAAGAAGCCGTCAGAGATTTCCATCAGGGAGCTAGCGCCAGAAATTTCAAGAACATGTAGCCCATGAAGAGTCTTGAGCTCCTCTATATCTTTCAGTAGATCACAGTCCCTGATCACAAGAACCCGGAGTTTCCATAGTTTTGATAAAGACGGGACAAAAGGGTCCAGTGTTGGTACGAAGAGGGCAAGTATCTCAAGATCCTTCAACTTTTCAAAGAACTTTTCAGGAGTTTCCTGGCGCAAACGGTTTCCACTGACCAGAATAGTGGTAATTTTGCCTCCTTTCCTCTTCACTCGCACTCCTTTTATAACGTCATCCACGTAGTTGATATTCCCTAGACCTTTTGTCATGTTGCTACCACAAACTTTAGCAAGTCCGATTCGAGATGTCCCTGACAGTCCACGACGCCGGAGATCAATTAAGTTCTTCATTGCAACCTCTGGCACAACCATATTGCCCTCTTGTATCTTCAGAATGCCACGGTTTAGAAGCTCCATCAAGATAATATAACCATCCTTATATGCGTTTGTGACCGATCTAACAGGATCAAAGTAGCCTTCAAGAATCCAATGGGCGATCAACTCCTGGTAGTAAATGCATCCACAGTGCTCGAAGAAGCTCAGGCTATGCCAGAAGCAGTCAAGAATAGCACTCTTTAGGGTATTATCTGTTTGCAATAACTCATATGTAAGACGTAGAATAGGATTACGCCTGGACGGAGCTCTCTTACGATCAGCAGCGTCTACAGTTGGAAAATAGGAGAGAACCGCTATCTTGAAAACCTCCCCCTGCTTTGGAGAAAGGCAGATCGGAAGCTTTTGAGCAATCGAATTTAGAGACTTGGCTAGCACGACAACTGCAGCTGGCAAAGACATGCTCATTTCCACAATACGGCGTGCCAAGAACCCACTATCTTTCCGCCAAGCGTTTTCAAGTGATTTTAGTATTCCATAGTCCATCTGAAACTCGAGTAGCTCCAGAAAATATTCCTCAGTAAGTGCTTCGTGTAAAGACTGACAAATCGATAATATCTGCGGCATGGGACCCGATCTCCCCATCAGTACCTATTGCATCTCCTTTTCCTTTTCCTTTTCCTTTTCTGCTTGTGAGAATAATCTTTATAGGTCCGTAAGGTGCCAAAAATTCTCCAAGGTGCAAATCTTTCATCACGTTTTCTTCATTGGTCACACTTCCTTCATCATCTAAAACCAACAGCAGGTACTTCGTTCCTTCACAGCTGAGCTTCTTTCTATCAAGTTCTTTATGAATCTCATCTTTCAACCTGATCAAGTCTTGAATTGTCTGCTCCTTTTCATCCTCACTATTGTCCTCGTCGCCGCCGTTATCCTCTTCACTCTCTTCCTTCTCAGGAACAAGGAACAGCTGAGAAGCTATATCCTGGTAAAGCGACATCTCGTCCAGCACTTTGCCTAGGTTCAACCAAATGGCCATGTAGCACGAGCCCTCTTCAACTGCAAGCTCGAATACCTTTCGAGCCAACCATGTCTTGCCTATTCCAGCTTCACCAACAAGCATGCCTCTCGAAACATCATCGTTTTCTAACGATTCCAAAATCTTTACACCAAGTTCATATACACCTACCACGTAAGACGGGTGTAAACCCATCACTGGTAAAGCGCAAAGATATCAGCAAAAATAAAAGTCAAACCCAAAACATCATCAATGTATCTACTCTTTTCAGATAATCGAAAAAGTTCCGAATCATACTATTTGTTTTTCTTTTCCAGAGGTAACACTTGATCTAAATTTTAGCAATCCTAGAAATTGAAGCTAAACAATTCTATCAGGTTAAGTTCTTAATTTGGATTTTGGAGAAATCAACAAAATCATATGGAAAGGACAACAGGGGAGGGTGAATTGAAGTCTACGTATCTATGTGAGTATGCGAGTACAGAGATCGTCGGAGGAAGTGACGAACCTTGATGAAGCGAACCCGGAAACCACCGTAGATCAGACCGCTTCCCGGTGGCTTTGTTTCTCGTTCACTTGATTCTGATCTCAATCAGAATATATTATGGTTTGCAGCGGTGGATACGGAAATGCTGGTCTTTGCTCGTATTCAAGTGTTAGTGAAGAGTAAAGACTAAAAACCGATTGGTGGTGTGCGGAGGGGCTTTTAGTTTTGAGTTTTCAGATTTTGATTTTTGTTTTTATTTTTATCTTCAATTGTTTTTTAAAACGTTTGTATTGTTGTTGTATGTATTTTATAATTTTATTACATATGTTTTGTTAAATGTTTTTTTTAAAACAAATATACGAAAATTTGTAATAAGAAAAATCATTTCTTTGAAAAATATGGTCTACAAATACATCCTAATAGTTATAATAATACTGGTTATTTTTTAAACGTGCTTTTATTAATATTAATATTCAATTTTACAGTTTTTCATATTTACTAAAATCAATATATAACTTGCTGTTAAAATAATTTTTTTTTTACAAAAATATAATAACTCAAAACATTACAAGATTTTTGTGTGTATATATAATATTATGAGAGAACTGGAAATTTTACAAGTTTGTTTATTCATTATTTGTGAAAGTTCACAAATGAGAGTTCTCACAAATGTGTGTGAGAACTTATTAAATTTCTTGTTCTTTTATATTTTCTACTTTTTCTCTTACATCATAGAAGGAAAGAGGTATTGAGAGAGAAAATGTCTTATTTAGAAAAAAAAAACTTTTTAACCTTTCAATAATTAAAATTGATTATTAGTTTAAAATTTTCTCATATTTGATTATATAATTAAGGGAATATTGATTGCATATGTAAACAATATTATTTGATTCTATTAAAATAAAGTTTAAATACCCAAACTAAAATGAAAAATGTGTAGTTCCACAATAAGATAAGAAGAAAAAAAAATTGCTAAATTGAATTTTTTTTCGGGTTATGAAGGATGTTTTTTTTTGAGTTTAGAGATAAAATTGTGAACAAATTCAGTTGTTTCAAGTAAAATACAGTATTTGGAATTATTTTTACTAAGTTTTATTTTAAATAGCTAAATTCAGATAAATATCCAATTCCACCAAATTTTGTTCATTAAGAAGTAAATCCATTTGAATCATTTTGAACTTCTAGATGCACCGCCATATCTATTTACTACAACTACTTTGCATTATGAAGCCATATCGTTATCATTAATTGAATGTGCGACTCTTAACAGTTTTACACAAGCAAAATGCTACACAAACAAATCATTTAAAAGTACCAGTATTTGAGACTTGACAATAAGTTAATAATGAGTAGAACATTTAAAGTTTCTAACTACTTCTGCACAATAGCTATTTATTTATATATTTTTTGATCGACCACTGATTTGTTTGCTTAAAATATGACCAAATCAAAATACTTAAGGAATAGGGGATTAGGGTTAGGGAGTATAAAATTGAAATGACTTGTCCTCTATAGATTGACTGACTATAGGAGAGCTAGTGATTAACGTGTAACAAGGGGGAGACAAGTAAACGAATAACGCGGGATTATACAGCTGCTAAATTGCATTAAAATATGACTTGAGATATTCATTGGGTCGCGGCTTTAAGTTTTTTTTTTTTTTTTTTTTTTTTTTTTTTTTTTTTTTTTTTTACCATAAATGTTGCTGGATGAGATTAATCATTATTAACTACTGTAATAAAAGACATAAATGATTACTTGTCAATAATGATGACCAAAATTGTAAATTAGGGGTGTTCAATCCGGATATCGGTTCGGTTTCGGTTCGGTTTTTCGGTATTCGGTTTTTCGGTTAATAAAAAATAGCTACCATATTAAAACCGTACTTACTTCGGTTTGGCTCGGTTTGGATAGTCTCGGTTATCGATTTTCTCGGTTTGGATATTTTCGGTTCGAATAATCTCGGGTTATTTGTATTTTTGTTTGATTATTCTTTTATTATATAAATATTTTAGTTTTTCTGATAATAGAATGATCAAATTCAAATATGAAAATGCAAATTCATGTCTTATTTTAAAGTATAAAACTCTAAAGATCTAGGTTTTAGTATTTAGAGTTTGTTAATTGTTAAATTTTGGTAAACTAAAGATATATAATTCTATTTATGAGACTACTCTAAACTTATATTATTATATATTATATGTATACCATATACTATTATATTAATATATAAAACTATTCGGTTTTTTCGGTTGTTGCGGTTCGGTCGGTTAATATCTAAACCATATCAATATCTACGGTTTATATAAAATTGCATCCATATCCATACGGTTTATACAGTATATCCAAATCCAAACTATATGATCTATTTCGGTTCGGTTGGGATCGGTTCGGTTTTACCAAATTGAGCATCCCTGTTTGTAATGTTGTATAGTTAAGGCCCGTTTGTTGACAAATAAATAAAAACTATATGCTAGGGGGCCCAAATGAGCCTAAATGAGAAAATACCGGATCTTTCTACATTTGCTCCTTCTTCACTCTGTTTCTTCTTCGTTTGACAGGTAATTTGACTGCAGCTGACTGAAAGGCGTCCACTTCAGATTCCGGCCAAAAGTTTTTAAAATCGCTCCTACCCAGAGGTAAGAGACGATTATATTTGATTTATGAGGCGAATTGTTAGAAAGGTAATAGAGGTTTGCTTTATAGAAGTGATTAGTGAATGATCGATGATTTTGCGAACGACTCCGGTTAGAGTTGCTGGATGAAAAATAATTTTTTCTCTAGAAAGCGTTCAGCTATCTCTTTGCTTCTTTTGGATTATGGGTTCGTACTATGTGATAGGAACTCGAAGTGTGTGAGCAGTTTAATCAAATCTTAGCAATGCCAAAAAAGAAAAAAAAAGAGTACTTGCTTAAGATAGAAACTGAGTTTGTAGGTTTGTGTAGCTTTCATTTTCTGGGCGCTGCATTTCTTTAATAAGTATTATTGGCTGTTTTCTTGAGAAATATCCTCTGCTTTCACGATTTGCAGATTGGCTTTGTCATTGTATCTTTGAGAGGAGTCATGCTTCCTTATGAGTTGACGCAATCAGTTACCGGTGGAAACACAATCGATTCAATCATTGAAACTGCGAACCAACTATACAAAGTTATTCAACTTCAAGATGCATATCAAGATACTGACCAAGGTTCCAAGGAGGAACATGAACATGCTAAGGAGCATATGATTGTGACCTCTAAGAGCATTGGAGGTGAAATCGTGGAGGAAAGACTTCCAGAGATGCCAACCACTGGAGGAACTGGTTTGGAAAGAGCCAAGAGCGCGCCTCTTCGTAACCTTTCTCCTCCTGTGAGTCTGATTCGCTTGCTAAAGAGCACTCTCCTTCGCTTAAAGCGTAATCTGAAACACATGCAGAGCCTTCAATCAGATGTGGAGAAAGAGCTCAAGGAACAACTTGAGTCGCTTACGCTGGTGGTTAAAGGTGTGGAGCCTTCCACAGCTTTGCATATGAGTTCGGCGGAGCAGATGGAGAAGAGTTTAGATTATATGATCAAGAAGTTGTTGGACTTGATAAGCATGGTCCCTGTGTCACTTGAGAAGCTGGACAAGAAGAAAGAATCAACAGATCAGGAAGACGATGGGAGTAATAATCACCGCAGACGCGTTGTTTGTTTGCCTGCCATCCATGGAACTGAAAAAGATCTCAAAGGACTTGCGGTTTCCAGAGACGTGCAAGGAAAATTTGAGAAGCTTAGTAGCGCTCACCTCCGGATCTGCCTGCTGAGCTTCGCCGTGTTCCCGGAGAACCAAGAGGTGAATGGAACGATGCTCATGTATTGGTGGATTGGGGAGGGAATTCTGCCTGATGGAGACAAGCCTGAAGTTGCTGTTAAGAACATTCTCAAGGAATTCACGGAGAAGAAGTTGATTGAACCTGTTAGAAACAAATACAAAGTGGAGCCGAGTAGCTATAAGATGACTCCTTTTGTGCATTCTTCAGTGGTTCTCATCTCCAAAGAGATTGGACTCTTTGATATGTATCACCAAGGGACGAAGCCAACAATGAACAAGTCAGCCTTGAACAAGGTCTGCCTTGTGGAAGGTTCGTCAAGCGAGGCGAGAGCAAGAGGTAGAATAATGGATGCAGATGGCATCGAGACAGTGTTCAATGTTTCCGAGAGGTTCCCGGACTTCACGTACAGGTGGTTCTCAAGTATGAAGAACCTCAAAGTGCTCTATCTGGGTAGCTGGCAGAGAAGTGTGAGCGATATTGAAATGCATAACCGTCGAGTTATGAAAGATTTGGGTTTCCTGAGGAAGCTAAGGCTTCTGAGTTTCCAAGGTATTTCAACCATTAAAAGCCTTAGCCGTTCTGCTTCCAAGCTCACCGAGCTGATCGTCTTGGACCTCAGGGGTTGTGACTACCTGGAGAAACTCCCAGACGACATACACAAGCTCAAGAATCTAGTCTATTTAGATATGACCGGGTGTGACGCCTTAGAGAGCATTCCCTTGGGATTGTCTTGGCTGTCGAGTCTGGAGGTCCTCAAGGGTTTTGTGATCCGTGATGATGAAAAAGCGACCACCTGCCATCTGATGAATCTGGTGCATTTGCAGAGGCTGAGAAAGCTCAGCATTATCGTAGACCGAGTGGAGTTTCGTTTAGATGCTCTGTTTGGGGATATTGCAGGGTTTAAAGCGCTGGAAAAGTTGAAATTGAGGTGGGGAAGAAGAATATCTCTGAGCAAGAAGCAGCTGGAAGACAGGAAACCAAGAAGTATCCCTGACATTCGCCGAGCCCCGGAGGAGGGTTATCATCTTCCTAAACAGTTGAGGAAATTGGACTTGCAGCGGTTTCCTGATAGTGAGCTACCCGGTTGGCTTCAGCCTCAGAATCTTAAGGGCCTGGAAAAGCTCCACCTTCGAAGCTGGACGGACCTCAAAGGATTCGGCGCCTTACCCAAAAAGCCAACCGATTGTGGTGTCACGGTTTTACGCCTCACATGCTTGCAAAAGCTAAAAGTGGATTGGAGAGAGCTGAGGCAGCTCTACTTCCCTAAACTGAACTTTGTGGAAATGTATGAGTGTCCCGGAGTTACTTTCTGCCCCTGTGACGAAGACGGAATCTGGAGATCTGATGAATGGGAGGGAGTAAGTAAGTAACTCAACAACAATTCTTTTGGATTCTGATGTCCAAAAACTCTCCTTTTTCCCATTTTGTTTAAAGGCTGTATGACTGCAGTGTTATTGTCAATTTTCGACCGATCTTTCACAATGAACGTAAAGCATATATTTTGGTAGTAACCCCCAAAAGCTCTAATTTAAGATTGAGAAAAAGCAGTAGAACTTTGTGATATTTCTGGGGATTGTGGCATGTAGTTTAACCAATTCTTAACAATCTCTTCTCTAAATTGTTACATGTAGTTTAACCAATTCTTAACAAACTCTTCTCTAAATTGTTACATGTAGACCCCTGAACCTAAATCCTCATTTCACTCAAAGTTTCAACGTCGTAATAGAGCTCATACACTCACTGAATTTTACGTATACGTGTTCTAATTTTTGTACGTGTCACAGAGAAACTGCAACGAAGAGCAGTTCTGATACGATTAAATGTTCAATGTGATTCTGTGAGTCATGTGACGGATCCAACAATAGAACTTAAAATAAAATGACAATTTGCACAATTTTCCCTTAAATATATTACTTTTTTCTTCATTTGTTAGACCACCATTTAGGTGACTTGTTTATGCTACATATTTACTCTAGGAAAACGGCCATTTCATACCCAAACTTAAGACATATATTCGATTCATACTCAATTATACCACTGTCAAAATCCATACCCAAACTTATATAAAATTTAAATTTCATACACAAACTTTCATTTTTCTGAATTTTCATACATTTTACGTCATCTTTTAACTAATCCGTTAAGTCGTGATGATGTGGATGCCACGTAATATACGACGTCGTTTTGAGTTTAAACGAAATTAGAAAGATAAGTAAAACGACGTCATTGTGTTTTATGTCGTGAGTTTCCAAGAATTTGATGGTTAGATGACGGTTTAATCCGGTTCAGAGATTACATCCAAAAAGATCCATCTTTTTCGGGATGATTTCAAACTTCTCTCTTCATCCTCAGTTCATGTTCCATCTTTAATGTATTCAACAATTCTCCGGACGAGGCCGGTTTCTTCCGATTATTGTTAAACCGAGAAGGAGTGTTTAACTCAATCATCATGATTCAAGCGAAGCTTCTCCGATATTCATTCGACAGACCGTCGATTCCACAACGGCGGAAACTCGAATACCACAACGACGCGAAGCTTAAGACTTTCCAGAATCTTTTGGAATCACATGAGATCGATGTAGATCAGCTCCGCAGATCTGTGACCAGCACGATAGCCATTGGTTTCTTCTTGCGAAACTCAATCCTTCTGTTACTCATAGGAGATCGATGCAGATCATTAATAATTATTTTCCTCAATCCTCCATTGCCATACTAATGCAGATTAATGAACTATGAGTTTCCAAAAACCATCGATTGTTGATTTCGTAGCTTTTGATGGGTTGGAGAAGATGAACAATCGTCTCATTTAGCATAGAATAAAACGACGTCGTTTCATCTCCATCATTAATTTTGGAGATTCTCCTAATCCAGGTCGACAACTTTTAACGGGCCTTTAACGGACAGTCTAGCCATAATCATTTTTTAACGGAGAAAATGTCAGATCACGGAAAGTGTATGAAAATTCAGAAAAATGAAAGTTTGTGTATGAAATTTAAATTTTATATAAGTTTGGGTATGGATTTTGAAAGTGGTATAGTTGAGGTATGAATCGAACATATGTCTTAAGTTTGGGTATGAAATAGTCATTTTCCCTATTTACTCTCTGGTGTTATTAGCATTGGTAAACGACAAAACTAGCCTTAATACTAGAAGATGACGACCAACTTGGTTTAAAACAAAAGACTTTCTTAATCCTTATCACATGCTAATGCAGGATAAATTATGTCGACTAATTCAATGTGTTAATGACAGCCAGCTACCCATCCTGTTGTCAACGCCGAGGCTCGAGAGTGGTCCCTTGTCCTTTTTTTAAAAAAGAAAGACTTTTAAGTCGTTAACGGTAAAATTTGGGAACAAGACAGAAACGGATAGACGTGCTGATGCGTATAGTATTTATTTCGTACAACAATCAATGTCCATGTGTGCATTTGTTTTTCTTTTTTTTCTTTTTCTTTCTTGAAGTGATCATATTTGCTCTAAAACTAAAACACACATAAAGCAATCCAAATGGCTCTATGATTCATCAATCGTCCAAAGACAAAAAATATTACTATAACAAGAAAATAGGAGTCCATGTCGATGTACCCCATGGAATATCCAGATGAGATCAATCACCCTTGGCACCCTCAACACCCTCTCCGGATCATCGAGCTTGAGTCAATATCTGATGTTATATGTCGATCATGTGGAAAACAAACACAAGAGAAAGAGGAAGAGGAGGCTAAGGAGACGAGGTGTTATGGTTGCACCACATGTGGTGATTTTGACGTGCATCTTGATTGTGCAAAGAACCCACCACCACTTGTTGTTGACCAAACCAAGATCCATAAGCATCCCCTGACGCTCCTCCCCAGAGAGGTCTCCTTCATTTGCAACGCATGTGGAACCAAAGGCAAAGCATCTCCTTATGTATGTCTATCATGTTGTTTCATGATACATATAGATTGCATCAACCTCCCCCGTGTCATACGCATCAACCATCATCCCCACCGTGTCTCTCACACTCTCTCGCTTCCCTCCGACTTGAAGTTGAACTGTCAAGTTTGTCATAAGGGCATTGACTCTAGATATGGGGCCTATTCTTGTCTCGAGTGTCCTACTTTTCACGTTCATGTAGGATGCGCAACAATAAGAAACGTGTGGGACGGCGTTGAACTCGATGGGGTTCCCGGAGAGAAAACACCTCCTCCTCCGTTCAACGTGACTAGCGAAGACAGGATCAAACATTTCAGCCACGAGGAGCATGAGCTGAGACGCATCACCGATGATTGTGATGACCACAATGCACGCTGCTACGCGTGCAATCTTGATGTCTTTACCGAACCTTTTTACAAATGTGTTGAATCGCTTTGCGGTTTCATTCTTCACGAAGAATGCGCTAAGCTTCCCCGTGAAACGAGGAGCCCCATCCATCGACACACACTTACTCTTCACTACGAGGAAGTCACTGATATTTTCCCTTGTAAATCTTGTTGTCACGTTTCCAACGGTTTCAGATATTCTTGTTCCCAGTGCCGCTTCCTCCATTTCGATTCAAAATGCGTCTCAGTCACTGAACGGCTTCTCCGTGGAGGTCATCGCCATCCGCTTTATTTTAAATTCGACTACAGAACATGCTGTGCTTGCGAGCAAATCAAACTTACTCCTGTAAGCTGTGGAGACTGTAGATTCGCGTTGTGCTTCGAGTGTGCCACGTTACCTAAAAGAATACGTTACAAAGACGATGCGCATCTACTTTCGCTCAACAACGATGGAAAATTATCTGAAGATCTACAAAAAAATTGGTGCGACAGCTGCGAAACGCAAGTAAATCCTCTCAAGATCTTCTACGAGTGTAGGAGCTGTCGAACAGCTGTTCATACTAGCTGCGCAAGAGGAGGAGATTTAAGAAATATGAGAGTCGGATCTAAATTCCAATTTGTGGACCAATTCCAAGTGGTTGCCACCGATCAACTAAAACTACGGCGTTGCAACTTTTGCGAACGTCATCACGAGGGTCCTGCAATGTTGACGATTTTATCTGATGAGGGAAATATCATTCCTTACTGCTCTTATTATTGTCTCGATAGGATAGTTTTTTTTGTTCAATATTGTATGCTTCGGAATTAGGGCTCCGAAAATGGATCCGAAAATCCCCGGTATTTTTTTTTTTGTTTCAAGTACTTTAGATTACTCTTCTCAGGATTAGTTGGTTACTTTTAATGTAATTTCGTTTAGTTTTCTTGGATTATTTGGTTATTTTCAATAACTTTTATTTTATTTTTAATTGATTTTTTAGTTGTTTTCAAATACTTTTACGGATTTTCAAATAATTACATGTACTTCAGTTAGTTACTAAATACATTTGGTGATAAAGTAAATGAACCAAATCCGAACTGAAAGTATTTCACGATCTGAAAAGTATGCATGGTAATACCCAAACCCGAAGAGAACTGAACCGAACCCGTCCCAAAGTTTGCAATTACCCAAACAGATCATTTTCTCCGAGTGAAATACCTGAAACCCAAAATACCCAAACCGATAATCCGAATGCCCACCCCTATTAATCAGGATAGTAGCCAATAACCATGCGCTACGCTGAAGTTTGTTTAAAAATATACTAAACCACTAAACTAGAAGCATATATTTTTAAACTCGGTTAACTAACACAAAACTTAATCTATTACTAATAAAGATTGACCCTATATGCATCAGATGGTATTCACATGTAATCATTTCTATAATTAAGAAAATTTCTATTTTGTAAATATATAAGTAAGAGAAAGAAATTAGTTACTTATATAAGACTTTAGACAGGCAATAGTATTATTTCACATCATTACTAAAATTAACTAATTATTTTTCTCTTTATTTCTGAAAAGTTTACTAATTAAATACTTGAGAATAAAAATATATATTTTCCAATTACAAAAAAAAACCGAAAACAATTTTATAGTAAATAAGTTATATAGGATTTTAAACAATTAATATTATTAGTACATATAAGATTATCTAAAACTAAGTATTTTTTCCAAAATTTAAAATTATGTAAGAGATAAAGAAAACAAGTATAAGTTTTTAATAACACCAAAGTCACTTAGAAATAAATTAGAAAATTTTCTTAATTTAAAATAAAACTTTCAATCATATTGATAATCACTTAAAATTTTATCACAAATATAATAACAATAAAAATTTCATATAGCAGATATTAAATTAAAAAAGCTTACACTAAAATTGTTTAAAAAAATAATAGAGTCATGTAGAATTTGAAAAGTGGAAAATAACTCAAATCAAGAAGAAAAAGAAGTTGAAGAAAAAAACAAAAACAAGGACGAACACAATGAAAAAGAAAAGTAAGAAAAGAAGCCGAATAAGAGCGAAAACGAAGATATGGAAGTGCGAATACGAAATATAAAGAAAAGAGACAAGATGAAAAAAAAAGAAAAACCGGATAAGAAACTTGCAAAGAAAAATTCGAAGAAAAAAAAAATACGAACGAAGAACACGAAATCAAACAAGAACAAAAAGGAGGAATAAAGAAAAGCAAAGACGAAAAACAATAAGAAAAAAATCAAAGCACGAGATATTTAAAAACAATAAATTAAAGAAAAATTTAAAACATATAAATAAGAACATAGGAAAAAGCAGAACAACAATGTGCGTCGATTAGCTTCTCTTTAAATAAATTTTATACCTTATAAATCCAATAGTAATATTAGTTTATTTGCAACAACATTAGCTACTCTAGCTTAAATTTATTTATATGTACATTTTAATTTTTAGGTTTGGCTAGATGTATTAAATAATTAAAATTTGTTTTACATAAGATTAAAAAGACTTATACTAAAGTAATTTATAAAAGATATTGTCATTGAGAATTCAAATGGGAGAATAACCAATACATAGAAGAAGAAGAAGAAATAGTAGGAAAAAACAAACTCTAGCAAAAGCTAATATTTTTCGACGAAAATAATTAATCATAGAAGAATTAGAAGAAGAAAAACCAAGAAAAGAACAAATAAATAGAAGTAAATTGAAGAAAATCGAAGACGAAAATAGCGAAGAATGAAAACATAAAAAAAAAACTATATCAGATAAGGTTAAACCAGGAAACCAAATAAAAAGACGAAACTGACGAATATGAAATTGAAAATTATACTTAATTATATCTTTATGATCATATAAACTGAATTATTCATATTATTTCTAGACATTGTTCATTTTATGTGTGAATATGTAATTGGACCATCTAGCTTAATTTTGTTTCTGTTAATATTTTTCATTTTTAAGTTTTGTTAAATGTATCAGATAGTGAAATTTTTTTTTTAATTAATTAAAGAGGATTGCAAAAACAATTATTTATAAAAGGGAGAAAGTCATTACAAATTTCAAACGAAGAATAATCAAGAGAAAATCCAAATAAAAAAGACTATAATAAAACCCTAGCAACTGCGACCACCTAAACTAATCACCAAAAAAAACAGAAGAACAATAATCAAAATGAGTATAAAAAATAAGAAGAAACATAAAAGTAAACACAAAAATATCAAAAAAACAAAGACAAAAATAAACCAAGTATGCTGAATAACGATTTACGAAACCAGAAGGACAAAAAACTGGAGGAAAATGAAGAAGCATAATAATAAAGAAATCAAAAAAGAAAAAATGAAACAAAAGAAGAATCAAAACATCGCTTCACTAGGTTCTGACCATGCTAATGACGATAAAAGTTTATGAATAAAGCATATTAAATCAAATTATTGATACATTTATAATACTTTCTCCGTTTCTAAAAGATTATTTTCTTAAAGATATTTTCTATCTTTTTCACAAAAGTTAGAATTTCAATGCATTCTCTATTAGTTAATCTTTACTAGTATTAAGTTATCGTAAGATTGAGAATATTTCAAATATTGAATTACTTACTATGAGAAAATGTGCTTAGTTTGAAAAGATAATATGTTAAATCAACCGGCGCTTGTGGCCCTGTGGTAAAGGGGTTATGCCTGTGACTTTCGTCACTTAAGTTCAAATCCCGGCTACTGGTGAATTAAAATGAGGTGATCATCAGCTCTTCGAGACCATGTAAGACCGCCCTTAAAGGCTGAAAATGCGACAGGACCCACACTAGTCTGGACTCACCTTGGTGGAGTCAGGACACCCGAGTCAAAAAAAAAAAAAAAATGTTAAATCGCCATCTTGTATTTGTATTTGTATTTGTATCAGTTCTCGTTTTATCAGTCAAATTTCAGTGAAAACAAAAAATGCATTGACTGTGTCAGCAGTAAAATTTATCACTGTGTCAGCAGAAATGCATTGATTCTCGTGTCTTACACAATTGTCAAATTATTGAATCATTATTATTGTAGGGATCATGGACAACGACGCTTCTGAACAGCAATTGACTAGCAAATTAATTACACTTCCGGTTCTATTAATCAGAGACTGATTAAGCTAAACCACTAATTTTTCCGTATTTAATTCGTAACACATGTTGAGTGTCCGTAGTGGATGAATAAAAAAGAAAGACCGACTTATATAACTTTACAAAGTCAACAATTGTCGTGCAACGTGATACCCCAGACAAGATTTTTTTTAGAAAAAGAAAATCTTGGAAACTATTATTTTAACAAATGATAATCAATAGGTTTCACGATTTCGTTTGAAGAGACTTGGTTTAATAATCTAAAAAAAACTCTTTTTTTCAACAAAACAACAAATTTCAAGCTTACTGTAATTTGAGTTTTGTCTACGTTTAAAAAAAACAATACTACTATACCATAACTTTTCATAAAAAGTATATACCACAAAGATATGAGATGTGATTAGCTTTCGTATACTGTAGAGGTCGATATAGACCATATATCAGAAATTCTCAGGGTATTCGGACCAATAAACTTGATATAAGCACATCGCCTCAGCGCTGACAGCAAAAGGAATGGAAATTCGTCTTGTCCCTTGGGGCTTCACCAATTTGCATGCAAGTCAAAGTTGTTCAACCGTTCGGTTTAACTCAACCGCTTTTTATCTTTTGTCATCTTTAACCGTTTTTTCTTTTGATCGTCTTTCTCTTAAATTTTTTTTAACCGGCTTGTTTAAACGAGGTTACCAATTGAATTCAAAAAAGAACAATCAACAAACAAAAGAGAAAGAAAAAGAACAAAAAAAAGACCCCAGGACAGTAATTCTCAAACCACAACGACTGACCTGAAGTATTCTTTTCCAAGATCAGTAGAGACATGGGTGAGGCAATACCCAAGGGAGTGAAGGATCTATGGGACAAATGGAACATACGTGGCCTAGTGATACTCAGTCTTGTCCTTCAGACAATCCTGGTTCTTCTCTCTCCAAACCGGAAACGAACCCACCGGTGGTTTTTCCAGTTTCTCATATGGTCGGCTTACCTTTTAGCCAACTGGGCAGCAGAGTACGCGGTGGGTCAGATCGCAGAGAGCCAAGGAGAAGAACCACAACCCAAGAACAACGATCTTTTAGCTTTCTGGGCAACTTTCCTTCTCTTGCACCTTGGTGGTCCCGACACCATCACGGCTCTTGCTCTCGAAGACAATAACCTCTGGCTGAGGAGCTTGTTCGGTCTCGTGTGCCAAGCAATCATCACTCTCTACGTCTTCTTGCTCTCCATACCCAACAATCTCTTGGTACCAACATCGCTCATGCTCGTAGCCGGAGTCATCAAGTATGTTGAGAGGATAAAGGCACTGCGCGGTGCGAGCCTTGAAAACTTCAAGGACTCGATGCTCGAGGAGCCTAATCCTGGACCCGATTACGCGAGGCTCATGGAGGAGTATTCAATTAGGAAGATTCTTAGAGAGCCTACCCAGATAGTTAGGATCGAAGAAGCTGAGAAAGGTCAAAGACCCGAGGATTTTGTGAGGCCAAAGAGAAAGCTGACCGATCTTGAGGTTGTCCAATATGCTTATAAGTACTTCAACATCTTCAAAGGTCTTGTGGTTGATCTCATCTTTAGCTCTCAGTCTGAGCAATGGAACAACAGCAAAGCATTCTTCCTCGCGTCAAAGTCAGAGGACGCTTTGAGGATTCTAGAGGTAGAGCTCAGCTTCATCTATGGCACCTTCTACACCAAAGTCGACATTCTCCACACCCGGATCGGAGTTGCTTTCCGCTTCCTTGCCTTGGTGTCCCTTGTGTCATCACTATGCATTTTTACAATAACCGCATCACGAAGGAGATGTGGGAGTTCATATTTGAAGACGTTAAGTACAGATCCGAGGTTTCAGACAGGGCAGAGAGTGTCAGCGAGATACATTCAGCAAGAGGAGAGTGGGTGTTGCGTAACGCATCAGTTGAAAAAGCCAGAAATAGGCCAGAGCGCCTGAAACTACTGTTGCCTTACGTGACTCAAGTAGACTATGACCAGAGCATTCTCGTGTGGCATATAGCCACTGAGCTCTTGTACCACACAGATGGAGGCAACGAAACGAACCATAGTGAGCGTGAGTTCAGCAAAATGCTCTCAGACTACATGATGTACCTCTTGATCGTGCAGCCTGCTCTCATGTCGTCAGTTGCAGGGATCGATAAGATCAAATTCAGGGAAGCTATAGCGAAAGCTAAGAAGTTTACAGAGGCTAAGAAGTTCTTGGTGACGAAGAAGCTTGAGGGTTCAAGAAACGCAAAAGAGGTCTGCGAGGAGATCTTATCTTCCCTCGAGGTGGTTAAGGAGAGAGGAGGCAAGAGGTATCAACGCAAGGATGTGCTCGCTGATTCAAAAATACTTGCAAATGCGCTTAAGCAGCTAACCGGGGTAGGAGAAGACGAAACAGAAGAAGTGATGTGGGAGGTAATGAGCAAAGTGTGGGTGGAGATGCTTTGCTATGCAGCAAGTCACTGTGACCCCAAACAGCATGTAGCACAACTGAGCGGAGGAGGTGAATTCCTCAGCTTTGTTTGGCTTCTGATGGCTCATTTTGGCCTTGGAGACCATTTCCAGACAACAGAGGAGAATGCTAGAGCCAAAATGATTGTGACCAGGTGATTCAATCAATCACAGAGCTAACTAGTAAAATCTTGTCCTGTCTTTGCTTCCTTACACATATCCTTGTACCCACAGCTTGAGCCTTTCTAGTTCTTTTGCTCCAAACTGTCAATGGGTTGTTGTTTTTGTTGCTGGAAAATCTGGAATCACGACTCTTTTTATCTCTGACAATGCCATGCTGCAACATGATCTTGACTCTCATAGATTTCTTGTATACATTTGCCTGCCAATTCAAAAAACAAAACGGTTTTAATATGACATACAATGTGCATCAAGAGGCAAGAGCAGTGCCTAATCTTCGCTTTTGCAAGTCGCATAAGTCCGACAAGTCAACGGTTACGTATCTTTGACTCAAGTTTGAGTTAAATGAAAGTTAGTTAGTCGTTAAGTGCAAAATGAAACAGGAAATAAAAAAAAGGGACTGCTACTCTATAAGTCGCTGTTTAGACATATAGATATGAACCTACTTTAAAACATTGATGTCGAGAAAGAAGAAAACGACAAAAGAGACTAGTAAACTGAAGATGGTGATTTGGATTTCTTCTAAACCCACAATCAAAGGGGATTAAAAAAAGACCAGAGGACTTTTGGTAACTGTAGAAGAAAGTCAACGACTGAGTATTGGTAAAACTCAGATCAGTCCCTCTGATCCAAACATTAATCATCAGAAGAAGTAAAATGGTTCAGGCGATTCCCACATATATCAAAGAGGCGTGGAACGCATGGAACATCAGAGGAATGGTGATTTCCAGTCTCACGATTCAGACAATTCTCATTCTCTTTGCTCCTTCGAGGAAACGAACATCCAACAGGTTCCTTGCTTTGGTCCTGTGGTTGTCCTATCTCTTAGCAGATTGGTCTGCAAACTTTGCTATCGGTCTCATTGCTAAGAATCAAGGGAAAGAACTAAAACCAGATGATCCTCCACAAGATCAGAAGCTCATGGCTTTGTGGGCACCCTTCTTGCTCTTGCATCTTGGTGGACCCGACACCATCACTGCATATTCTCTCGAAGACAATTCTCTTTGGCACAGACACTTCCTCGGCCTCGCTTTACAAGCTGTCTCTGGTGCATATGTGGTTATCCAATCTCTACCCAATACGCTTTGGATGATCATAATGTTTTTGTTCATTGCTGGGACTTTCAAGTATCTGGAGAGAACGATTGCGTTGTACCTTGCAAGCTCGGATAAGTTCAGAGGCTCCATTCTCAAGGTGTCTGATTCAGATTCCGATGAGACTGACGACATGGAGAAGGTAGTCATGCATCCCTCTGGAAAGTCCGTGCAAGAGTATGGCAAACAAAAGAGACCATTAAAGCTAGAAAAGCCTGGGAGGGATTTGACAGACCTCGAGATTCTTCAGTTTGCTTTCTGGTTCTTCAACAACTTCAAGAGTCTTCTGGTCAATAACATCTTTACCTCTGAGCAGAGAGATGAGAGCAGGGAGTTCTTCAGCAAGTTGAAAGACGAAGAAGCTTTGAGGATTCTAGAGGTGGAGCTCGGCTTTATCTATGAAGGTTTGTACACAAAAGTTTCGGTTTTTCATAGTTGGGTTGGGGCTGTGACTCGGAGCATAGCCTTGGGATCTCTTGTGTCAGCTTTCTTCATCTTTCATTATAGACCCAAGAAGGTTCATGAGTTTCATGGAGCAGATATAGTGATCACCTACACTCTCTTCTTAGTTGGAATAGCTCTGGATCTCACATCACTCCTCATGGCCATACCCTCAGACTGGACATTTGCTGTCATCAGTAGGCTTAATGAAGACGATGCAGACAGTGGCTCACGGATAGACCACCAAATCAACTGGTTTCTTGGTCTAAAGAGGCTGCAATGGAAGACACAAACATGCTGCGAGGGAAGAGTAAAGCATGAGGTGCTTAACACACCGTTTCTACTCCAAAGATGGGCAGGAAACATCAAGCTGTTCAACTTCCTTGCGTACTCTGTGAAAGCAGATATCGAGAGGATCCATGACACCAAGGGACGAAGACGCCGGCGTGTATGGAAGGCTATACTTCTCCCTTTCATTCACACAAACAACATCCTCAAGAAAATCTGCACAAGCATCGCCATATGGAATCATGATCTTCGCCAGTATGTCAAGTATGTCATAAATCAGTGGTCTAGCAAAAACCCAGTAGCTCGTTATGGTATAGTAATTGTTGAGTTTTGGTTCTTGATACCTCACTTCTTCACGTTTATCATCAACTGCATCACCAACTTACTCGGCATCGACGATCTGCTGGATGACATCAACCTGACAAGATCTGTACACAGTGAACCCTTGACAAAAGAGCTCTGGATTTTCATATTCACTGAGCTGCGATCTAGACTCCAGCGTCCAGACAAGAAGAGAAGCAAAACAAAAGCCGGAAGGAAAGGATGGGCTTCCGGCGACATTAAGTTAGAAATGGCGGATCCGGAACAGCTGATGCGTTACATAGCAGATGTTGATTACGACCGGAGCCTTATGCTGTGGCACATAGCAACTGAGCTGTGTTACCGAGAAGAAGCATCCACTGAAGAGAACTGCAACGACCGTGAGCTAAGCAAAATGCTGTCGGACTACATGATGTATCTGTTGATTATGCAGCCAAAGCTCATGTCGGAGGTTGCAGGGATAGGGAAGATCAGGTTTAGAGACACATTGGCCGAAGCTAAGAGATTCTACAAGAGGCGGTATATTGAGAACTCAGGGGATGTGAAAAAATCAAGCGATGAAATCCTTTCGGTCAGGATAGAGATTCATCCAAGTAATGTTAAGGGAAACCAAAGCAAATCTGTGTTGTTCGAGGCTAGGGCGCTGGCGAAAGAACTCAGCAAGGTGAGTGATCGTGGAGAAAACAAGTGGAGAGTAGTGAGCAAAGTGTGGATGGAGTTGTTATTCCACGCAGCATGCAACTGCGACGCTACAGCGCGCATGGAGCAGCTGAGCAAAGGAGTAGAGCTTATCAACTTTGTTTGGCTAGCAGTGGCTCACCTCGGCCTTGGAGATCAGTCGAATTCATCAGAAAGTGAGGCCAAACTGGATTCAAGGTGACTGGTTGAGTACCAAATGTCAGTGTTAACTGTTGTTTATGTCTTGGTTACTTTTTGCACAACAGCTCTCAGATGTCTTTAGTGAAGCAAGTGCCTACAAAAAAAATATGAACAATAAATGAAAATCACACCTCCTCTCTTTTTGCAACAACTTCAGTCAATAGAATTGATATAAACAAGAAGATGTACTGAGATGTGCAAACCCAAATGCAAAGCTAAGTATATACCGTTGCAAAAATGTAGAGAGAAGATTTTAGGATAGAATAAGATGAGTATACTGTTGTTCAGTTCAGATATGTAACCGACCAAAATTAAACCCAATATCCATGTATGATCTCATCAAAACATCTAACTACAAACAACTACTAAAGATTAGAAAACATTTCACAGATTTCAAATTTAGTTGAAATAACTAATGGAGAAATCAGTAGATGTTTAGCTCAAATGAAATCATGGCACTATCATCGATTCATCAGTCATAAGAAAAGACAATTTTCCTAATGTGAAGTCAATTATCGATATACAGCTGATCCAAGCTTTTCGCTAAAAGAAAAACACAACCCAAAACCAAACAATCATCGAATTGCAGAAGGTCAGAAATTACCGTTATGTGATCGCAGTGTTGAGTGAGGAACTTTCAACACCATAGATTTTCCCGCCTTTTCCCATCTATAGCTCGTTACTGCCTCCGTCTTCCGATCGGCGACGAGACGGTGATAACTGGAGAGCCGTCGTGCCAAAAGATACACAAAGTGCCACTCGTGCGACCGCTCTGACGCTCGAAGTCTGGAACGAATCGCAAAATAACTAAGCCCAAACCCAAGGCCCAGGAAAAATCTTTAAGTATATTAAATTGATTATACTATTTCCAGTAAATTACAATTTTAAATATCTGTTACTGATCTATTGATCTTCGTTCAAAAGATTAAAAAAAAAAAACTGTTAATGATCTAAAGTCATTCATGGAGGAAAATTGGTCCAACGTCAAGAACTTTATTGCAAAATAAAAGACGAATACTCCATACCATAATAGTTAAGCCAAGAAGCCAAAGACCGAAAACAGACGGAAGAAGAAGTATCCATGGACATCAAGAGAGTTTTAGGAGGGAAGAACACACAAGAAGTACATAAACATAAAGTATAGGCTTCAAATGACTTGGGAGGACTCTCGGGAATATAGATGATGATGATAATGGCTCATATAAACTTATGAGTCACATAAGAAAAGAGTGTTTTCGGCTTTTAACCGGCGATTCTCCTAGAGTAGGGATTTGGAGGCTGAGTAGGTCTGAGGAACACGTCACCACTTTCTCCAACCCATCCTGCCTTCATCGCCGGTTGTCGTTGTGTCTGCCTTTGACTTTGACTCCATGTTCCTCCCATTGCTGCATTTGCCACTCTATTTGCAGTCTCTGATGGCCCACGAGCAACGCCCCAGTTCTTGTTCATAGATGCTGCAAAAGTTCATCATTTGATTTCCATCAGATAAAAGAATCATCATCTATATGAAACAGAAAATAAAATACAGGAATGAGATTTCAACTTACGAGGACTCTTCCTTCCAGGTGGTGGTATATACTTTGCATCTTTGACGTGATAACCTCCCACAGGTTTGTTGTTCCATGCCGTGTCCTGGTTAACCTTATTACCCATATCCACCTTCCGCTGAACCGCACCAGTGCCAAAAGGAGCATTCATCTTTGGAGTAGCATAACTGTTATAAGGCTTATTATTAGCATTATTGGTCACAGTCGCCGGCAACCTCTTGACAGATTGCTGCTGCTGCTGCTCAAGATTCCCTCTCGGTCCAAAAGATTGCTTGGGACGGAGAGATGGTGGAACATAGTAGCAACTCTGGAAGAAAGGATGCTGCAGAGCCTCCGCAGCGGTCGGTCTATCGCACGGATCCCACGAGCAAAGCCGCTCAACAAGGTTAACCGCCTCTGCACTGGCATATGGCATCAAGCTTGAAAGGTGTACACCAGGATGCTGAGGGAATTGGTAATTGATAACGCTAGCAAGATTAAGCCCCTCCAACCATGTCTCTTCAGTTGGGCTGCCTATCACGCTGCAGATTTTGTAGATCTCATCTACTTCACTGCAACCATTAGAAGAGACATTTTGCAAGTTTAGCATCACGTCTGCAGCATTATTCAATCAAGGAAATTGTAAATAACCACCATTGACAATTACCTTGCTCCGGGAAAAAGAGGGCGAAGAGACAACAGCTCAGCCATAATAGCGCCCATTGCCCACATATCTGAAACACAATCAAAATTACTCCATTGTTAAGAAATGAACTGCACCATGTTGAAAGACATTCTTTTGTATTGGAATTTAGAGAACACTAACCAACTTTTGACGTGTACACATATGACTGTAGCAGTACTTCAGGTGCCCTGTACCTGATAGAAATTTATATCACAGAAAATTAGGGGTGAGTAAGGAAGAGATATGGAATAAATCACAGTGACACTCGCCAGCAGCACATGTTTCATCAAACTAAAAACAGAATGATTTAACTAAGGACTCAATTCGAAAGAGCAGGGAAGCGAAGCTTACCAGCGTGTAGAGACATACTCTGTATAAGGTGGACTCGAATTGATCTCCCGGGCCAGTCCAAGATCAGCAATCTTAATGACATCTTTAGAGACTAATAGATTTTCTGCATCATGAAAAAATACACATGTTTCATCGATAAACTATGTAACTATGACTGCAGTAGAAACATGTGTATTTTTGCACATGTGCTGATGTTGATTGGCAACTTAAGGCTATCAATTACCTGGCTTAAGATCACGGTGGAAGTATCCACGCTGATGCATGTAAGAAAGGCCTTGAAAGACTTGAACGCACCAATTTCGGATATCAGATTCTGCAAAAAGCTTAGGTCGATCCTTCATAAGCTGGTAAAGATTGCACTCCATGTACTCGAACACAAAGTATAGGATATCATTTTCCCGGATGACTTCCTTCAGCTTCACAATGTTTGGATGATTCATTCTGCTAAGCGACTAAATATGAGAAAAGAGAGGAATCAGCAAACATACAAGAAGAAAGTCTAATCAAATTTTAGTGAAGGAGATATAATACCTTCACTTCTCTCAGATTAACACATTCTTCCCAAGAGTAATACTTCTTCTTCATTTTTTTAATGGCAACCTGTCCATAGAAAACTTCAGTACCCTAAAACTCAAGCACCAAATCGTATACAAGTCTTGCTATCTTCAAAGAAAACAACTTACAACTTCACCCGTCTGTTTATTGACAGCGCGCCAAACATTCCCAAAAGTTCCATCACCAACTTCTTTTATTAAATTATACCTACAGTTGCACACGGCATTGAAAAGCAAACATAAGCTATAACATATCAAAAGGTCTGAAGCGATAAGAGAAAAATGTTATAGAGAAATAAAACCTACCTCTCCATTGCCTTAACTGTAAAGCGAAATATCCCTTTTAGTTTATGTCTGTAGAGAACTTCTATAACTTTAAACTCCCCGTAGTTCGTGTGGCAGAAAGACCAACGATTCTCCCGCTAGGTAGACTGACCGTTATTTACTTTGCAAATCAATTGTTTGACCAGGAAAGCAAAAGAACGACACCAAGAGAAGAAGACAGGACATGTTGAGAACTGGAAGACGCAAGGAACCAACGAGAAGGAATGTTCTGGGTAACAGGAGGAAACCCACGCTCACAACATCTCACTCAAGGGGTTCTGAGACTCGAGGAAAAGACTATCAAATCTACGACATGTCAAAACTTGAAAAGAAACTGATACATTCCCGTAAGAACCAGAGGTGGTATAGGAAGTAACAATTTTTTTGACTGTATGGACCAGATTTAGAGGAGACTCTAGGACTATGCGAAGGAAGAATACCTTGCAGACATCAGCCCTGCACAAAACAAAGATGCCACACAAACATCAAATATGACAGTTCCAGTCTCGTATAGGCTATATATTTTTCCTTTTTGAGGTTTCCTAAATTCTTACTGGCAGTTTTTTCCTTTTTCTAAATTTCCATATTCTGTATTCCAAAAAATATTATAAAAAGAACTCTTCTTTCCTTATTGAGATACTGACCATAAATTTACAGTTTAACAAATCTCATCAAAATTGTAAAAAATCAAAAAGAAAATTCATACATAGCTCCGTCCAAAAAAACCATACCTGACTCAGAAATTTGCATCACACCTTCTCGAAAGATCGCAGAAGAAGGTCTGACCACTAAGTGCAGTTCACGAAAGAGCAAACAAGAAAATCTGCGCGCGCAAGAAACCGCCAATCAAGTGCTTCTTGCAATGAGAAAACCCGATACTGGTAGCAGTCTGAGAAAGTGTAATCTTGTTCCATGTCTCAAAAGAAGATAATCCACTAGAAACGAAGCTTAATATAACCTGATTATGAACAAACACATCAGCAGTAGAAAAATCAATATTAGAAGCACAACAGATATGATTGAAAGCCAACTCAAAGTATTATGGGAAAAAATGAAATCTAGTTCCAATAAATTACAAGGAATATCAGTAAAATTCACAACAAAAACTTGAGAAGCCAAACTGCAATCAATAGGAAATTCAAAATCATCACCAAATTTCAACTCAATCAATCTATAACAACCCAATTTATCTCAGATCTCAACGAACGAAGAAATTAAAAATCCAATTACAAGCACATAAGAAAAACCCACAGAAGCGTAACCCTAAAATTCATTAAATTCAATCCGGAAACGTCTATCTCCGACTCCATCAGATCTCAGAATTTCAGCTCCAATCATACAACAATACTCAACAACAACCAAAAACCGATTCGATTTGAGCGCCGAAACAAAAGGGAACATCAGAACGACGAAATCGCAATCAGTCAAAAATCAGAAAAGATGTTTGGTTACCTCAAAAGCCAACAGGCATAACCTCCGTCTCCGACGACGGGAAAAGACGTTATCCAGAGCTTCTCGTTCCCAAAACTACAGCTCCACCGCTCTATCTCTCTCTGTCTATCTCGGTTTCTCTCTCTCCTTGCCGCGTATTTTTGTGAGGTGCTCGTGATAACAAACAAAAAAAACCTTACTTTATAATATCTCAGCTAAAAGGAATAATATTATTGAGCAATATTACGGTCGTGTCTCGTAGGTGCTAGGCTAGGGGTGGGCATTTTATCCGGATCCGAAAATCCGACCCGATATTTACCCGAAAATATCCGATCCGGATCCGATCCGATTTTGAAAAATACCCATTTGGATCCTTTTCTTCTCTCCATTCGGGTACCGGGTAATACCCGATAATACCCGAGACCCGTAAACGTACCCGAAATATCCGCACAATCTAAACTGACCCTTACCTGCATTAGTCGATTCGATTCCACTATCTCCATTCCCCGCTATTTTCGTTTACATGATCTTCAATATCAAATCCCAAACTGAAAATCTGGAAACCCTCATTCGATTTTCTCATCCGTCTCCTCCATCAGAGACGTCAAGAAATCATTCAAAGGTGATCTCAAATTCTTTTCTCTTAATTCTTTTGATTAAGTCTGCTTTGATTTGCTTTCCGAATCCTGAGTTCATAATTTGTTTTTGAAAAATGTATTGTCATGTTTCTGGTTTTTATGTTCAGTTACTTAGCTTTTGTTTCTTTGATTCAATTCAGTTTGCATTGTCGATACTCGATGTTATTGGATTTATTTCTCAGCTTAGCTTATAATTTTTAGTTTAATTCCAAGTCTTCTTATGCTTAGTTAGTTTAGATCTTCTTCTCGTTCTGTCTCTGTACTTACTAATCTTGTTAACCCTTGTGATTTATTTTCTTGCTTAATTATGAGATGAGATTCAAAGTGATGTATCTGTTTGAGTTAATATGTGACGTTGATGTCTTGTCTTGTTCGAGTGAATATGTGAATTTAATACTTCTTAGTTTAAGGTTTTGGTTCTTAGTTCTTAAGACACGAACAAGTAACTAGTTATTAAAATAATCAACATTTTTGAACAATGTTTATTTCTTGATCGGTTTGTTTCTGTTTTTGTCTTGTCTTGTTCTTAAGTTTTTTTTTTTTTAGCGTTATTGTGTCTTATCTCTCTGTAACTGTGTTTGTTTTTCTGGTTATTAGCTTATGTTTCTTAGTTTTTTTTTCTAATTGTCTTCATGTTTCTGTTATTTATCAGTTCGATATTGAGTATTATCTATCTGAATTATTATTTATGCTAACTGATTTTGTTTTATTGTAGATGGATTCTTCATCATTTCCCGATGGTGAAACTCAAGATACAGCAGAAACCTTTACCACACAGTCCACACCTAATCAAGGGAAAAGGAAGGAGACAAATGGAGATACTTCTGGTCAACCCAATGAAAAGAAAACAGCGGGTAAAAGGTCTAAAGTGTGGAAACATTTTGATCCACTTGAGGAGGACAAGGACAAATGCATTTGTCGTCATTGTAAAAGAGTTTACGGTTGTGCATCATCCAAAGGGACTTCTAACTTGGGGAAGCATATGTTAACCTGCAAGAAGTTGTTGGCATTTGAAGCAAGTAAGTCTGCAGATACGAGAGCTGTTACTAAGGATGGACGATTGGTGGAAGCAAAGGTTTCAGAGGATATCTTCAAAGTGGCGACTGATGAGTTGCTAGTGTTAGGAGAATTGCCACTTGCCTTCATTGAAAGCATGGCTTGGAGACACTTCTGTAGTCGAGTTAATCTCTACACACCGCATTCAAGAAGAACTGCTACCAGAAACATTGTGAAGATGTATGAGGAGAGGAGAGCGGGTCTTAAAGTTTGGATTGCAGCTAACAAGCAGCGAGTGTCACTTACTACTGACATATGGGTGGCTCAAGCAACAGGTGCTAGCTATATGGTGATTACAGCACATTTCATTGATGCAAATTGGGAAATGAGGAAGCTAATCATCGGGTTCAAGTACATCACGGATCATAAAGGGACCACTATAACAAGAGTCCTTATGGAGTGTTTGGCTGAATGGGGAATACAGAAGATATTCACCATCACGGTGGACAACGCCACCGCCAATACATCTGCCCTAAAGAGGTTTCAGACCCAATTCAGCTTAGTGAGCGATGAGGCATTGGTTTTAGATGGAGAGTTTATGCATATGAGGTGTTGTGCACATATTATCAACTTAATTGTCAAGGAAGGATTGCTAGAGTTAGTTGATAATGTGTGTGCCATTAGGAATGCCGTGACGTATGTGAGGGCGTCTACTAATAGGATCGACACTTTTGATAGCCGTGCTGATAATGCCAAGGTGACTAGAGGGAGTTTGCCTTTGGATATAAAAACTAGGTGGAACTCAACATACTTGATGCTGCTACAAGCTATTAAGTTCAGGAAGGCATTTGATAAAATGGAAGCTGAAGATCGGCTATACAATGATTACTTTCTCGAACAAGAGAATGGTCAAAAAAGGATTGGTCCGCCTACTGAAGTTGATTGGAATGCAGTGGAGAGGTTAGTAAGGTTTCTGATCATCTTCTACAATTCTACGTTGATCGTCTCAGCGTCTAATTCGGTTAGCTCCTACAAGTGCTATACTGAGATAGTTACTATAGAGAAGAATCTGATGAACTTGAGCAATAGTTTAGACAGAGAGTTGAGTGAAAAGGCTGACGACATGAGAGGAAAGTTTGACAAATATTGGGATGGAGTGAAGAACATCAATAGGCTTCTGATTGTTGCTAGTGTCCTTGATCCGAGCAAGAAAATGCAGTTTGCTAAGATATGCTTTGAAAGACTTTACGGCAAAGATACTGCACAGGCAATCAAAGATGTCAATGAGACATGGACACGGAGAAACAACGCGTTTTGGACTTTGAGACTCACCACTCTTCTTTCTTTTCATTTGATTGCTTTGAATTTCTTTCTTTATTTTCATTTGGTTGTGTTATGGAATGATATCACTTTGGTAATGACTTTTGTGTTGCTGGTTTTTAGTGTTTGGACGAGAATGATTTGTATTTTGTTCTTAGGTTGAATCAAGTTGAATGGTTGTTTTTTTATTTGTTCGGATTTCATTTGAAGTAACAGGTTATCAGGTCAATTTTTGTTTAAAACAAAGGAACTTACTCCAAACCGAAAGTATTTTTAGATCCGAAAAGTATATCCGGTAATACCCGAATCCGAAGAGAACCGAACCGAACTCGACCCGAATTTTATAATTATCCGAACGGATCCTTTTCTCTTAGGACCGAAATACCCGAAACCCAAAATACCCAATCCGAACCCGACCCGATAATCCGAATGCCCACCCCTAGTGCTAGCTATGATCTCCTGCACCTCGCTTTACATTGATAAATTACATCTAAACCGCAGATCTTTTCGTTAATGACATCATCTCCGATCCGAACCGTATACTTTTGGAATTATAATGTTTTATTTTGATATTTATATGGCCGCCTCTGTAAATGCTTCCCTAGTTCCTCCGGCCTTGACTTTTCGTACTAGTTTCAATATATTTTGTTACTAGATGGGTTGGTTGGTCCTGAAAATGAATTATTTCGGTAAAACTTTTAATAAAAGTTGATTGTATTTTTTATTAGGGAAAATCGCATAAAAAATCCTGAAAGTGGCAAAAGTTAGCACTTTAAACCTCCAAAGTATGACACTAACACTTTAAACACTCAACCTAATTATATTAACACCTTAAACCGTGAAACTACCGGAATTGGTCGCGCCGCCATTTGACTCACCAGAACAGTTGACCCGGCTAACGGAACAGTTAACCTCCGTTCATTTTAAAAAAAACACGTGCTTAGATGTTAACTTGGGTTAATTTGGTCGGGTTAAAAACATAAATCTTGAGTTAAACACAAAACGGTGCGTTTTAACCCGTTTTAAAAAACAGAAATCGTGAAACAAAGAAACAAAATCGATTTGGGGATTTAGGGTTCCTGAGAGAAAATTTGTTCGCACAGACTCAATCGACGAGAGGAAGGAGGAAAACTGAGGCGAGATGAGGTATTCGTCCTATCTATTCTTTAATTCATGTATCAATGATAGTTATTGATTGCAAATCGAATTCGTTGTCTTTTCCGCCTAATAGAAAGAATTCTGGGTATTGGATTTGAATCTAGATATCACAAAACTGGGATTTCTTGTCGATTTTGGTTTGATTCTGGGTATTTGGTTTGTTTTCGGTTCGATTTGGTGTTCAATTTTCTGTTTCACTGTTAACTTTTTCTTTCTCCATTTTTACAGTGAGAGTTCATCAATGTTTCAGAGTGTGACTTCATCTGACAATGAGAATGGTGTACTTTGCTATTGTCACCGGCCAGCAAAGATTGTGAGAGCTTGGACCCGTAGAAACCCTGGTCGTAGGTTCTATAGTTGCATAGGCCGTCGAGGAGCCAATGGGTGGGTGTCTTGCAAATTCTTTGATTGGTTCGACAAAGAGGAACCACACGGATGGCAACATGTTGCACTATTGGAGGCAGAGCAGACAATTAAAGAGCAAAAATCAGAGATTGAGGGTTTGAAGAACAAGGTAAGAACACAAACTCATCATTCTGCAAATGCTGGGAATTCAAATGCATTGGTGGATATACTGAAGGAAAGGAACGAAGTGCTTGAAAGGGAAGTGTTGATCCTAAGGGAGAGAAGTATTGTTCTTCGTAATGTTCTGGTGGCATCTTCAGTCGGACTTGTTGTGCTTGTTGGAGGAGTAATGGCGAAGTGGAAGTGCATGTAAGAGTTTATGTGCAGCTTTATGAGATAATGTAAGGGTCTATGGTTAAACTGTTGTTGTCTTTCATAAGGATTTTGTAAGACTTTAAGCTCTCGTTTCTTAATCTAAAACATTTGGATTGGTCTATTTCTTGTTTGACTTGCTTATACAAACTTTTTTATCAATCTTTACAATGAACTTGAAAGGAACAAACCATATTATATTAAACCATATTGTCATAAACCAAAAGCCAAAAGCTTGCTAATGTCATAAACACAAAGCCGATATTGTCACAAAGAAAAAGCCGATATTGTCATAAAAAAACAGGCTTTCACGCAAGTGCAAAACGAATACAAGTGCAAATAAACACCCAAATACAAGTGCAAGTTCTTAAACATGGTCAAGTGTTTCCATCTTCTGTTGGCTGCAAGCTTGGGTCTTGTGGAGACTGCATATTTGGAGCTTGTTGAGGCTGCAAGCTGGTTGGTTCCTGTGGAGGCTGCTGATCAAAGCCACTCCTATGCTGATCAAAGCCACTCCTATCATGGACACGGTCTCCAAACACCTCGAAAGGGCGATTAGTGTATGGACTCCAGAATGTTCCAACTCCATACGGCACTGGTATGGTTTTCTTTACCTTGAGTTGTTTACCCCTCGCAGCCTTCTTGACATGTGGTTTGACTTGCTTCGTGGACACCGAAGGCTGAGGAGCACTAGAACTTACTTCAGCTTCACCAATCGCTGCTACAGGTAAAGGCTGAGAGGAACTTGCATTGTTGGGAGCTTTTCGCTTTCTAGGCTTTGACGGTGGTTTAGGAGTGTCCTGAAACATACGAACAGAAAAAAAAAAATCGACATCATTATCAAGCACCAAAAGTCGTATTTCCTCTATACAATCAAGAGAAAATGTCGAAATCAGATTTAGAACAAAGTCACTAGAAAATCAAGAGTATTTCGCAAACCCTACTCACAAATCGATCTCTTAAACCAGGATTTTCGAAAACCCAAATCAATTTCAAACTAAACCTATTCACAAATCGATACCGTAAACCCAGATTTTCGAAAACCCAAATCAATTCGGAGCAAAACCCTATACACAAATCGAGCAACGAAAGTGTATTTCAAGTTTAAGAAACATAATCAGTGACAAACAACTAAATTCGAAACAAAACCTATTCAATAATCGAGCAGAACTTGAACCCAAAATTTCAGATAGACAAAAATCCAAGAGCAAACAAATCGTACAATCGTATTTCAATTTTAAGAAACAAAATCAGTGACAAACAACTCAATTTGAAACAAAAAACCCATTCAATAGTCGACCAGAAAGTGAACCCAGAATTTCGAATTCTCGAATCCATCGTCTCTTAACCCAGAATTTTTACAGTCGCAAAAAAGTCAAACAATCACGACCTGTATTTGAAAGATTAAAACTCTTACCTCATTCTGTCGTCTTCAGCATTCGACTCTTTCTCTCTTCTCGATTTGGTCTCTGTTCTTTCTCTCTGCGAAATTTTGTCTCTCTGCGATTTTGTTTCACTCACGAACCCTAGTTCCCCAAATCGATTTGGTTCTCTCTTTCCCGTTTATTTGGTTAAAACACACCGTTTTGGTGTTAACTCAAGGTTTATGTTTTTAACCCGACCAAACTAACACGAGTTAAAAGCTAAGCACGTGTTTTTTAAAAATGAACTGAGGTTAACTATTCTGTTAGCCGGGTCAACTGTTCCGGTGAGTCAAATGGCGGCGCGACCAATTCCTGTAGTTTAACGGTTTAAGGTGTTAATATAATTAGGTTGAGTGTTTAAAGTGTTAGTGTCATACTTTGGAGGTTTAAAGTGCTAACTTTTGCCACTTTCAGGGTTTTTTATGCGATTTTCCCTTTTTTATTATCCAACTTGAAGTCTTTTATTATCTCATGGAACAAATTTTAAGAAAGCTCCGCCTTCTCTCTAGAAAAATACCGCCGTTCCTTCCTTGTTATCTGGCTCCGGTGGCTTCCTTAGCATCGGAGTCCAGATCTGTGTGATTTTCTCTTGGCTTTGTTTCTTCTTAAGTCTTTTATGCCCAAGTTTTGAAGTTTGAAGATGAATTTTCTACTTTGTTGGTCTATCCTTCCAGATCTGGCCGGATTTTGGTGTTTATGAGGCTGGTGGTACCGGATCTTCAAGATCTTCGGTGTTGCTCTCTCCCACCTTGCCTCTCGCCCAAGATCTTTCAACTAGATCTGGTTTTTCTCTTCCTCGGTTCTTGCGCCGTCGGTCCTTTTCCTTGTGCTTCTATGGAGTTCGCTTTGTGTGTTGGGTCTTCTCCGGTTCGATTTGTCCTGTTCTCCCCTGCTGGTCTACAGTGATATCCGGTTTGGATCGTCTCTCCTTGCCGCTATCCTCCGTTCTGATCGAGAGCTCTTTTGTCCTAGTCGCTTCTATCAAGGTGTGTTACAGTCGCTTGCATCCGACACTACCGTACCCGGAAGAATCAGATTGTCTGGCCGGGTTATGAAGGTTTGGCTTTTGAGTTGCGAGGTAGTTTGTGTGTTTGTCAAGGAGGTTTATGCTACCGTTGTTTGGCCGAGTGCATCTCCGGTATAGTTTCTTGGGAAGGTTCTCTACAAGTTTGGGTTTTGGTTTTGATGATCCGTTGATCCTGGGTTGAAGCTGTGTTTCAACTTCTCTTAGGGCCTGACTGGTTTAACCGTTGCGGTTGCGGGTGCGGGAGTTTGCGGAAGCGGGCGGTTGTGATTAGTAGCGTTATTAAGCGGTTTGTACGACTGGCATAACAATTGAAAATGGATGCGTTTGCGGGTTACTTATGACTGGTTCACTTGCGGATGCAATAGCGGTTAAACAATAAATTAATAATATAAACACATTATATAATTATAAAAATATCAAAAATATATTATAATGAAAATTTTAAATTTATGGTTCAACATAATTAAAAATATTTTTTTATAAAGAATAATATGTGTATAATACTTACGTCTATCTTTTAATTTCTATAATTTAAATAAAAATGTGATTTTATTTTCAAAATATATATTTAATGTGAAAATTAAATTTATTTTACAATTTTATTTATTAGATATATATGTATTAGTATGAAAAGAATATTTATGAAGAGAATTTTGATTTGTAGAACTTATAAATATATAAGTATTATATGATTTTAATGAATATTGACTAAAAGTACTAATTTTTTATTTATATTGTGATTTTATTATCCAAATCTTATTTTTTAATAAATATTATTATTTATTTTCGGATTTTATATAAGTTTGTGTTTTTTTTTTTTTTAATTATCCACCCGCAACCGCCCGCAACCGCAAACGCTTGCGGAAAGGAGCTTTTGATTTTCAGCGATATAGAGCGGTACAGAGTGGTATAGAGCGATTCAAAGCGGTTGTCGTGATTGTTATAAACCGCCGAAAACCGCTACGAACCGCAAACGCTGCGTTTGCGGGTGGTAGCGGGAGAACCAATCAGGCCCTTAAACCAATCTTGTTTGATTTGTTTTCAAATTTAATGCTTGTGGTTTAGTTTAATTTCTGTATTTGCAAGTTAATTTCTCCTGGCTTTCCTCTTTTGGACTTTGTAATCCAATTTTGGTTCTAATAATATTTTCAGATGACCAAAAGCAAAAAAAGAAGTCTTTTATTATCTGAGTACACTTAAAAGTCAAGAAGAAATGTATAGTTCAACTGTTCAAGAAGAGTCGCATATTTTGTGATTTTGTCTATGCTCATGCCGATTTGATCTCTTGGCTTGAACCCGTTTGATTATCCTTCTGAGTACTAAACCCGATATAAACACACATGCCTCTAATTTGTTAGATGTGCTTTAAAACAAGATCAACATAATTTGAAAGATGTGCAGTAATATATTTGTTCCATAACTTAGATTGTAGGATTAAAGTCAATTCTTGATTAAAGACAATATATTTTAAGGAAGTATGATGAATTCCACATACCACTATATAACATAAATTGTATGTTATTCTTTTAGTAACAATTACTGTATATAGGGCCTGATTGGATGTAGTTGTATTTTTTGTTGTAGATTTTACGCTGTAGAATTTTTGGCTGTAAATATAGATTTTAGTGTTGTAGGATTTCTTATTGTAGATTGTGTCATTAAATATAGCATTAAAACAGAAAAGATAAGATATAGAAATAGTAAATTAAAAAATAAATATTGAAAAAATAATAAGGAAAGAGAAGAGAGAAAATTCTAAGAGCACTTAATTTGGTGCTCTAGAAAAATTCCTTTCCAAAGCCACGGAACTTCCATAAATAAAAAAAATTGTTCTGTATTTCAAAAATGGAAAGAGACAGAATGAGAGCATGATTGGTAATTTTAAATTGCTGTAGAAAGATTTTGGGCTGTGTAGAGCAACCACAGCTCCTACCAATCATCCCCATATTAATTTTGTTAAGAAGACACACAAGTCATTACTAATGTACGTAGTCAACTCATTGTTTATAGTAATAAATAAAATATACTCCCTCCGTTTCAAATTAGTTGTCGTTTTGGCAAAATGTATCTGCAAATATTTGGACGTATCTAGACATGTTTTGCATTGCAGATACATCTAAATAATTACATATACATTTTCCCAAAACGACAATTAATTTGAAACGGAGGGAGTATATGATATCTAGATTTATTTAATAAGATGTAGAAATGCCATTTTGAATTCGAAATTTATGATAGTATCAAATTTATATTTAAATTAATATATTGATATAAAAAAAATTATTCAAAAGTTTTATCAAATTTATGTATAGAAGTTAAGAACACAAATTTGTTGAAATGGTATATCTTAATATTTTCATTTGTTTACGAAATTCCTAAAACTATTTATTTAATTATAATAGAACTAATATATACAGTAATGTATTGTCATATATAAAGAAATCTATTTGAGATTTTTAAATTGTTGAGATTTTTATATTTAAGGATATATTTCTTTTAGGTTACATATTATCTTTTTTTGCTAAACCTTGTTTCTTTTTTTGTTTCACCTGTCATATTTTTTCGTTGTTGGAAGCCAATCAAATTAAAACACATAACCATTTAAATTTAAGCTACTAGTAAGAGCATCCTAATTGATTGTTCTTTCCTTTTCCATTTCCTTTTCTGTATGAATCAACAATTATATAAACGATCGAGAAGAAGAATTAACAATGCAGACACGATATTTTTGGTTGCATAATGGGAACTGTAGATCGATTTCTTCATCTTCCTTGTCCCAGAAGTTTTGATGGAATTAGTATTATTGATCACAGTCAAAACCCTAACTGGAATTTGAAATTGGTCTCTGAGTCTGTTGAAACAAATCTCAATGTCTGTTCAAAGAGTGGTAGAGGATTTGTAAGGCGTGTGTTCGAAGATGAGATCGAGAGCGAAGAAGAACAAGATCGTAGTCAAATCTATACATCCGGGAAACGTTTCGCCGGCGATGATGATCTATCTCTTGTGATCAACGACAAGAAAACCCAGATCGAGGAAGAAATCAGGAAACAAATATCAGTTGTTGAGAATGAAATATTGCACGAGACCGAAACGTTTCGCTCTGCAATAGCGAAGGTTGGAAATTACAGAGAAGCTAGAATACAAGTGGAAGCAAAGCTTGATCTTCAATATCAGCGACTTGTCCAAGAACGTGCACGTCAAGAAATAGCTCGCGCAGATGCTTTATTGCAAGCAACAATCAGATCTGAAGAAGGAGATATAAAACTTGCAGAAGAGAGAGTTGCAATCAGAGCCGAAGAATAAGCAGCAAAAGAAGCAGAAGAGAGAGTTGCAATCAGAGATGAGCAGAGAAAAGAGAAAAAAACTTGCGGGAGAGAAAGTTGTTTGTAATGGTCAAGCTGCAGATATTGCGTTGACAATGGAGAAGGAGAGGCTGAAGAAGCTAGAAGAGTTGCAAGAAACGAACAAACTGCTAAAATCAGGCTCAAATCAAGAGTTCAGCAGGTTTGAGAATCGTGTAAAGAGGGTGATGAAGCAGATAAGTGGGACAGAGGAAAGAGTAACTGCAAACATCAACGACCTTCTCAGAATATTCAACGACCCTTCTTGTCCCGTCTCCATCAGCATAGCAACTTTAGCAAAGAAGATGGTTTCCTCTAACGGAACGTTAGCAAACCCATACGCATGCAGCTACGTCGTCGTTTACGTGACCTCCAAGTTTCCACAAGCCATGGATGTTCTTCTCGCTGAGTTCCACAGAGCCTGCGTTTACACTATACCAAGAAATGATGATGATGATACTGCGATTCACTCATCAGATTATTATGAGCGTATAGATTCCGTGATGAGACTATATGGTGCACTTGTTCAAACAGATGTTGGTGAAAACATCCATGGCATTGATCATGGATGGGCTTGGCTTGCTCGGTTCCTTAACAAAACCCAACCACACAACAAAGCTACTGCGACGGCCTTGAACGCATTCCTCCGGAGCGCAGGGTTTGGTCTTCATCGGAGGTATAGATGTCAGTTCTTGAAACTTATGAGTGTTGTCAGAGAACATTTCTTGGCGAAGTTGATTGCGGAGAAGGACGATTGTTCCGGTCTACAGACTATTGTATCCGATATCACGGCTTACTTAGATGATCGGATGTATCTCGAGGAACCTCAAGGAAGAAGTATGCGGAAGAATCATCTTAGGTCCAGGGACATTACTGGATTTTGAGTCTTCTTCTTTGATATCTGTTCTTTATGTAGTTTTGTGTTTTTGCAAATAAGTAAAAGTGGTGCTCTGTTTTCATCTTTTCATAGTAATTTTGAAAAGCAATAGAAAGAAAAAAAAAACAAAAAGATAAATTGTGTTTGTAAGAAAAGTTTGTGATTTCTCTCTTCTTGCTTTGAAACTCTTACAGAGACTCTTATTCCCAATTCTGAGCAATTGCTGCGTAGTGGAGTTTGATCAAGAGGCTTGATGTAGGCTTGCATGCTTAAGAGTTTGATTAGTGGCACAATCTTTGTGTGACTTTATCTATCTGCAATCTTGAGTCTCTCTAAACTACCCGACACCGACAGGATTTGGTTAATTGTTTTTGTGCTCAAATTAACTAATTAACTCGTTCAACCACCCCCCAAAAAAGTATAAATTACTAAATGCTTGCTGTAGGCTTGTAGCTTTATCCTTGCTAACAAAATACTTAGACATTCATCGAAAAATACTGTTTTAAAAAATCAACTAATTTGATTGAGGTTGTGAATTTTATTAGATTTTGAATAAAGGAGATAGACAGCTTACTTCTAAACTATTTTGGTATCCATTAGTCGTTCGTTCATAAAGGTGAAGAAAAGTTCAAAAGCATAACAAATTTAACAGCAAGAGAAAATGGAAAGAAGAAAAAGAAAAAAAAATACCATGCTAATAGTCTAGTACAATTTTTTTGGTAAAATGTGAAGCTAAGTCTAATACAACTTGTAAAACAACAGTAGAATAACACTGAACACACGACAACATCTCAAATGATTCTCACCAAGGCATACACTCCAAAATCGAAATTTGTTCAATACGATTGGTAGTAAAACTAGATACTTGTTCCGCGTTTTGACCATGTTTAAATCTTCTCTTTTGCATCTTACTCCAAAGACTATTGTCTGATTTGGAATGTTTTTGGCCACCCTAATTAAGCTCTATTATTGTCTGATTTCATCTTGATTCCAAAAACAACAGTTACACATTATTGCAAGAATCTATTGCCATCACTAGTACGCACAGTTCGTACTTTCTTCAATATGGAAATGATTTGGATACGTCTATCACTTTCTTCAATATGGAAATGATTTGGATACGTCTATCACTTTCGAGATTATTTCTTTTGCTAAAAAGGTTAAAGTTTAAAAGGGCATGCTCTCGTTGAGAGTCGAACTCAAGACCTCCCGCTTACTAAACGGGTGCTCTAACCAACTGAGCTACGAGAGCTGCTTCAATTTCGAGATTCTTGATAGTCATAATTTCTATACTTTTCACTTTTCATTATGTCGAGGATTATGAATGTGGTTTCTAAGGAGATTTATCATAGTGTTTATCTGTTATTCATTTCACAGAAAACGCTGAGAAACAGTATAAATAGTAAAATATATAAAGATTTTACTATTTTTTTGGTAGTTTGAAAGTGTAAGATTTTACTATAAAGATATAAAGATTTTACTATTTGCTATACATATAAATATTTTATTGAATATATAAAGATTCTATTGAATATATAAAGATTTTACTATAAATAGTTTAAAAGTGTAAGATTTTTATTGAATACAATTTTACATTCATTTAATTAAATAAAAATGTTTAAGTTGATAATAGCTGACTTTGAACAAATTTTTATTTTTTACTTATATATTACCGTAATTAATTTGTTCTTTCCTTTTTCCCTGGTTCCTCGAATTTCCTTTTTCAAATAAACAGTTTTCTCTATAAAAACAAATTTTCTGTAGAGAAGAGATTGTACAATTGTTTCTTACAACAATCTTTCAAATTCGGAGAGTAGATAAAACAACAATAACAAGGCAGACGATCTCTTCTTGATTACGTAATGAGAATCGTTTCGGAAGATGGTAGTCCTAAAAGTGTCGATCGGGTTATTAGTTTTGATTGGAATTTAGATAGCTTGGTCTCTGAGATTGAGTCTATTGTAAAGAATCTCCATGTCTTCAAAAGATTCCCGAGAGAATTTGATATGCCCTTGTCTCAAGACGAAGAAGATGAAGACGATTTTCAAATCGGGAAACTTTTTGCCTACGATGATGATAAATATGAGGTGATCAACGACAACAAAACCCTAATTGAGAAAGAAATTAGTAATCAGGTCTCAGCACTTGAAACGAAAATACTACAGGAGACTGAAACGTTTCGCTCTGCAATAAGCAAGGTTGAAGAATACAGAGAAGCAAGGAAACAAGTGGAACGGAGACTTGATCGTCAATACAAGCGAAAAGTTGCTGAATCACTCGAAACCCATCTCGCATTCCAAGAACGTGCACGTCAAGAAAACTCTCTACCGCAAGAAACAATCAGAGCCGAAGAAGAAGCTTGTAGTGATCTGAGACTGGAGAAGCTTAGATTGAAGAAGCTGCGAGAGTTAGAAGCAACGAACCAATGGCTAAAATCACTTTCAAACAAAGACTTTAGCAGCTTTGAGAAGCGCATTGCAAGAGTGGTGAGGCAAATCCGCGGGACAAAGGACAACGTAATTGCAAAAGCCAGTGAGATCATCAGAATCTTCGAGGACCCTCTTTGTCCATTATCCATTAGTATCGAAGCTTTTGCTAAGAAAATGGTCTCGGCTTCAAGAAACCCATTTGCATCAAGCTACATCATCGTTGACGTAACCTCCAAGTTTCCACAAGCAATGGATATTCTTCTTGCTGAGTTCCACAAAGCTTGTGTTTACACTGTCCCAAGGAATGATGATGATGATACTGCGACTAACTCATCAGATTATTATGAACGTCTAGATTCCGTGATGAGACTATATGGTGCACTTGTTCAGACAGATGTTTGTGAAAACATTCATGGGATTGAACATGGGTGGGCTTGGCTTGCACGGTTCCTTGACAAAACCAAAGTCTACAACTTAGCTACTGCAACGGCCTTCAACGCATTCCTTCAGACCGCAGGGTTTGGTCTTCATCAGAAGTACAAATCTCAGTTCTTGAAAGCTGCGAATGTTGTCAGAGAACATTTATTGGCGATGTTTATGGCGGAAAGGGACGATCTTGCCGATCTACAAATGATCATAACCAATATCACGGCCTACTTAGATTATCAGATGTATCTCAATGAACCTCAAGGAAGAACTATGGAGACTCATCTTTTGTCCAAGGAGTTTAATGCTCAAGTCGATCAGCAGAACAACAATCATGAGATGACACTACCGACGCCATCAAGATTGAGAAGTCTTCTTTGATTTTTTTGTTTGTTTTTATTTGGTGCTCTATTTTCTGGTTTGTAGGAAAAGAGTTATGCTGCTTTGTGTTTCCAAATTTGTAGGAGTTAAGACTCATTATCTTCATTATACATTGAAAGTGTGTTTGTGTGTGTAAAGAAAAGTTTGTGATTTATCGTCTTGCTTTGATAGAGTCATAGAGACTATTATTGATTAGTGGATTTTTCCACAAATACATACTCATCTCAGTTTTTTCATCACACTGTATCTTGTCATATATGATCAGTATTGTCACATCAATATTTGAAAAATCAAACAAATGAAGCTTAGGCCAGATAACATTATTTAGTATATTTCTTCTTCTTTCGTTTAGATTCAGTATGTTTATGACGTTTGTACGATTCAAGATTATGGTTGATGATCAAGAGAAGTAAATTAGATTAATTTTGATGCTTTAGTAAGTAACTTCTTTGACCGTTTATAGAGAAGATACAAATTGGACATGAGAACTCATATGGGCTTTACAGCACCCAAAAGCCCAAAAAGTCTCAATACGTTATTTTTGTTTGTTTGTTTCCAGAATCATATATTTCAACTTGTTTCAGCTTCTTCACCAGAACAGTACGAACAAATCGGGGAGATCAATGGAGTTTTACGACGAAGACAGGCCTAGAATCGTCTTTCAATCTCGTCCTTCCTCTTCTCGCACGACGGAGGATGATGATGATTCCAAAATGCCTAACAAGATCTGCATCTCAATCTCCGTCTCTATCTCTCTCCTCATTTTATCACTCTCCTTCTTCTACTTCGAAACCGAGCCTTCCAAATCGCTTCTCCTATGGCTCTCGATCTCCTTTCTCGTCGGTCCTTTCGCCCCTTCTTCACTCACCGGAGGTAAAATTCGCGTCGGTTACGGTCAGATCCTTGAGCCGGAACAGATCCACGATGAGCAATCGACGGATAACGAACGTGAATCGAGGAGGAAATCGGTGAACAAGCGATCTAATAAGGGGATGAAGAACGACAATCCGCCGGAAAAGCCTTCTTCGGTAGCCGAAGTTTCGAAAAAAGTGGATCGGAGTGGGATTGCAAATTCCACGGAGAATGGATCTGTGAAGGACTGGAGTGAGGAAGAGATCGGGATTTTGAAGAAGCAGCTGACAAAGCATCCGGCTGGAAAGCCTGGGAGATGGGAAGCGGTGGCTGCGGCGTTCGGAGGAAAATACAGGACGGAGAATGTGATCAAGAAGGCGAAAGAGATTGGAGAGAAGAAAGTGTACGAGAGTGACGATTACGCTCAGTTTCTGAAGAACAGGAAAGCTTCGGATCCGAGATTGGCTGACGAAGACGCTGATAAATCCGGGAATGGCGGAGATGACGAAGATAACAAGGAGAGTTGGAGTAAAGAAGAAGACATTGCGCTGCTCAATGCTCTTAAAGCTTTTCCGAAGGAAGCAGCTATGAGATGGGAGAAGATTGCAGCTGCAGTGCCTGGGAAGCCGAAGGCTGCTTGTATGAAGAGAGTTACAGAGCTTAAGAAAGGTTTTCGTAGCTCGAAATCTGAAGCCAATTAGCTTAAGGAGAGAATTCAGTGAGGTAAATTGATAAACCAAAGTCTTTTGATTACAAAAAGCTTTACTCTTTAATCAGTACTGTATGAGACAACATGTAGCCACAAGAATATTTTTCCGTTGACTAGAAAGATCAAAGATGTAGTTGCTAGTTGCTAGATTTTTGCTGTATAATTTTCCTAGGCTTGGTGATCTGTCCATTAGTTTGAGTTACATGGAAGATGTTTAGATGAGTTTTATAGGTTACTTATCAATCAAGTCGTATAACGTTATAGGTGAATGTTAACTGATCTGGAATTGAGACGAAGTCTTTTGAGAACAGCAAGGGGAATTATAGAATCTCTAGTGAACATACTTACTTGGTCCTGGGTCATGTTCTTGATGGTGGGTTGCTTATTCATCTTATGGTTAGTATATGATTGATGATTGGTAAAAGTGTCTTGAGGCATTTCTTCCATGTTTCTCATACATCATGTCAAATCCATTGCATTTCAATATAGGATCAAGGCAATATAGTCTACAAAAGTAGCACATGTAGACAGTTTTTGTTTTACAGGATCTGAATATTTCACAATCTTTCATACTGATATGAACCGCGTAATGCAGGGAGGAGTGGTTAGATTACGGCAAATATCAGGAGAGGAAGAACAGTTTTGTTGTTGCTGCTCGAGTCTATTAGTACAAATTACAAAACACCCCGAAGAAATCAAGAGTTATGCAGATAGTTTTTTTAGAGACGGACCAAAAAGAATTATCAGTATGCGAAAGAAATTTACTTAGATTTACTGCTTCTTCAAAGCTTTTTGTTCGGATTACAATACTTTGAGCATCTGTGTATCCTTTCCCAAAGATTACCTTTTCACTAGGGAAATATATTAGAAAAAAAATACTAAGTATATCCTTAATCAAAGGAGCATGTTCGTATATGATTTTGATTTTAAAAGGAACTTATGGGTTAATTATTTTGGTGATAACAGTATTAGATTTGACAAATATTTGAAATTGGAAAGTTTATATGCTGCGGACTGGATAATGTTGGATTGTTGTTACAAAAGAATAAAATACACATAAATAGAAATTTATGAAAAAAGGAAAATAAAAATCTAAAATATTATTCACTTCTCAAGCTACTCCACTCAAGGACTGGGAAGTCCAGGTCACACACGTGTATAGAGAGATCAATCGTCTAACTGATGGATTGGGTAACTATGCATTCTCGTTGCCTTTAGGTTTTCATACTTTGGTTTCGGTCCCACCAGACTTGTTGTTTGTTTTTCGTGATGATGAGCGGGGAGACTCGCTTCCACGTCAAGTTATTGTGTAATCTTTTTGTTTGTTTTAATAAAATCTGGGAGCTAGCTTCCGGTGTCTCACCAAAAAAAAAGCTACTCCACTCAATATCTACCGTTGGATGAGAGTGAGACTACAATAACGACAAACGGCATGAGATCCACCTCCAGTACCAAAATAGTCAAGCTGGTTCGGTTTTCTCCACCGAATACAACCACGTGCTGCATACTTAAACCAAAAGTCATAAAGTCAACCGGTGATCACCGGTTGTTTTGAGATGGAGCTGGTCCACGGTTTACCGACTCAACCGGTAACTCTCATACAAACTCCTAAACACGTCTGTGTTGGCCACACGTTTTATCGAAATTCTAAAGCTGCTCTGCAAAAAATCTCCGGGCGAGAACAATCAAATTTCTCAGGTGATTCTCTATTCGATTTCGTTGTTTATATAATCGATTGATTCGTTGTATATGTTTTTCTGCATTTCAAGCAGATCTTATTTCTAGGTTTCGCGATCGAATTTTTGTTTTATCTTTGACCAAGTAGCTCGTGGGATGCAGATTTTTTACTCGAAAAACTCATTCGAAATCGTCGCAGGATTCGTATTTTCGATTGGAGTTTAGGGATCCTAGGTTTAATTTTTGATTCGTTGCAGAAAATTGAAATCATTAGAAATATGTATCGTGGGTTTAATTTTTGTGTGATTTGATTGTCAGAGTGTATTTGAAGTTTTGGGAATTTGGAATACTGATTCGATTTTTGTTCTTCGCATCCTGGGTTGTTTGTTCTTCTTAGTTCTTACAATCAATTTTTAGATATGGTTCGTTAATCGTCTTCTTTTGTTGTTTTCAATCTCTCAGGCTATTTTCTCAGCGAAAAGGAAATCAAATGGATCAGGAATCATCACAGTGTCCCTTCGCTGCCGAAAGCATCATCCAAAAATGTCCTTTTCTGAGAAACATCAACAAGCCTACCAATTTTTCCCTCTCCTCCTTGAATTTCCCAATTAATGTAAAATATTCCCTTCCCTGAATGAAATTATACTCTGTTTGATTCATTTGTGTTGAAGTTTATGTTCCTAAGGAATTTGATAATTTCGATTTTTCAGGCGCAAGGAGGTAAAGGTCCAATTTTTGAGGATGGTCCTGGATTTGATTCAGCGTTTAAGCTCTTCCATGGAAAAGATGGTATTGTGCCGCTTTCTGGACATTCGAGCTTTGGAAACGATTTTGAAGACGAGGCTGTTCGTGCTACTCCTCAATTCAACCCTCTTGCGGGCAAAGTAGCTACCATAAGCCTATCAGCTTTTGGTCCTGGAGGACCTTTTGGCTTTGGTCCATTCTCGGAGAAATGGAAGAAACAACAGAAGAAACCGAAACCTTCAAGAAACCAACAGGTAAGTTAGATTGTAAAAGACTTAGAGATTTCACAATGATGTGAGAGAGTTTCTTATTGTTTTTGCTTGCTTGCTTGCTATTTGCAGTCTGGGGACTCATCGAAACACGAGGCAGTTGGAGACGAATGGTTGAAAACCGGCAACTGTCCAATCGCCAAATCTTTTAGAGCTGCAAGCAAAGTCATGCCTCTTGTGGCTAAAGCATTTCAGCTACCATCGGGTATGAAGTATAGATGTCCAGCTCCTATAGTAGCTGCAAGAGCTGCACTTTCCAAGACCGCTTTGGTTAAAAGCCTCCGTCCTCAGCCTTTACCTGAAAAGATGCTTGCCATCGCTCTCATGGGGATGGCTGCAAACGTGCCTCTCGGTGTATGGAGAGAACACACCGTAAAGTTTTCGCCTGCATGGTTTCTGGCGGTCCATGCCGCTGTGCCGTTCATAGCTATGCTCAGGAAGTCTGTGCTGATGCCGAAAACAGCCATGGCTTTGACCATTGGAGCTTCCATCTTGGGACAGGTGATTGGGTCAAGAGCTGAACGTTACCGTCTCAGAGCTGTAGCTGAGCAAAGAGTTGCTGATACGTCTACTATCACTGCTGGTTCTGAATACAACCCGATCTCTAGTGATTCAGAGGTTTCTAAAGGATATTGTGGCGCAGGAGAAGGAGTGAAGGAGGTTTACTACAACGTGAATGTCGGAGGATCTGCTAAATCAACTGGACTCTGTTATTGATGTTCTTATTGATTCCACAAACTAAATATTACTATGTGAGGGGTTGGTTGATGTTTGTGTTTTTTGTAATTCAGTGAATTGTGTAAACCACAACAATGGTGCCGTTTTATTCCCTTTAAATGGGTCGAAATAAAAGGTGAATAATTCACCAAGTTACCAGATTCTCTTTATAAACGCAACTGAAAGTAGTTAGGCCCTGTTTGTTTCCTCATCTGGATAGAGCTGCAGATAAGGCTGATGTTTGGATTTTTTTTTTTTTTTATTCAAATGGTTCAGCTAAATGATTCATGTGTTCTTCTATTCAAATAGTCTATTTAGATGATTTTAATTAAAAAATGACTAAAATATTCATATATTTGTTAAATCTTTTTTTTATCTACATTAATTTTCTAAATATTTCAATATTAAATCTAAAATAATATCAAAGTCATCAAACGTGATTTCACAATTTTGATGAAAATGTAATTTTGCAGTTTGGACTCGGGAAAATATAATTTTGTGGATAATTTTGATTTCCTAGTTTTTATAAAATAGATATTATTAATATTTTTCTTGTGTAAATATATTTAGGGGTTTATGTGTCATTGCATATTTGGGATGGATCATCTCTCATCCAGATGCTCCAATTCGGATCAGCCAGATAATCCATCTGAATATCAAAAATTTTGCCTATAAATTCAAAACTCATTCGGATGGATCATCTGGATGTTCATTTTTGTTGTTAAACGAACATCATTCAGCTGATCCAGCCAGATGATCTAGCTGAATGATCAAACGAACATGCCCTAAATCGATCAGAGAACTTCACCTTATATAATAATAAAGAGATTTATACAAAGCAACAACATTTTTCAGTGTTCGATACAAAATCCAAGAAGGAATAATAAAACACAAAAAAATGGGACAGAAACATACTGATGTAGATGAGTAAACTTAAAACGGTCAAAACAACCTGACCTGAGAACCATTGTATCCAAACGTAGAAAGGTGATGACTTGAGTTTTTCAGTAGTTGCCAACACGTTGCCTTGGCATGCCTCCTCCAGTGTATCTTCCCGGAGTGCCACTCATGTATTGTCCTTGTGGCTCACTCATAAGTGTTGGGCAGTTTTCAGAAACATGACCACTGCCCCCACATAAGCCACAGGTCGTAACACCACCAAGAGGTCTTTGTGCACCGCTACTGTAATGATTTCCATTTTGCCCCACTTGGTTCGCTGCAGGTAACCCAAATTCTCTGCGTGCGTCCACCGATAAGGTCTCTCTAGTTCCCGAGGTTCCAATACCAGAGTTAAACGCATCAGACCTGTAGTTGGAGCTTTCCGGGTTTGCATCTTCTGCTCTGAGTTTATCCATTGCCTGTAGCATGGACCTGGTATCTGAAGAATAGTTCAGCTTCTCAGCTTTCACAACTGTTGCCTTAACACGTTGCTCGTCGCTATAAGTTTCTTCTTTAATCTTCAGCTTGAAAATGAACTTGGTGAAGGTAACGCTACGGATGATGCCTTCGAATTTCTCCTCATCTTGATCTTCATTCTTTATATAATACAGATCTCTTGCAGGCAGTCCCATTATCTCCTCGCCAGCTTCCTGAAACGCTGTGGCCCAGGTTACGCCTGTGTGGTCCTGTAACTGGAGCTGCAATATATACCTGTAGTCACAGTCATTCGAACATTTGTCACATCTCTCGCACCGCCATGTCCCATCTCCGTTATTCGTCACCTTTTTGCTGCATGGACGATCTCCAATCATGATAGGACAAGCCGTGTAGCAGAAATTCTCAATCTTCATGAATGAAATAGTGGCACTGACTGTGATCCAATCCGGCTTCTCTGAGGTCCCTAGCTTCTCGTCCTTGATCTCAGTGATAAACTTGCGAACCTCTTGTCTCCCAGCGCCGGAAAACTCTCTAGATATCGAGACACAAGGAGCATTCCGTCCTACTCTCTCATACCATTCCCTCAATTCTCTTGCTTCAGGGAGGTCTGGCTCTATGAATAACTGACTTGATCCAATGGTGCTCACTTGCTTCCCATTAAACTCACTGATCCTTCCGGCCTTCACAGCAAGAACCGGGAACACCCCAGAATCACAAAGGCTCTGCAATCTCTGTCCTTCTGCGCTGCAGAAATTACCCCACATGGTTACCTCAACACTTCGACCTGACATATCCTTCAGCTGAAGTGCTCTCTTCTGTGCTTCAGTTCCGTTTTTCCGCATAATCGTCCCTGTGGGGCTGATGGACGACACGATACCAATAAGATCAGTGATGCTATTGCTCTCCATTTGCTCAACGTCGCCAATGTTACGGAAATGGAACTTGTTCCGCGGAATGGCAGCATCATCCTCATAGCATTGCTGTATCGTTGACGCATTGTCCAAATGTATCTCATAATCATTGGGAAGATGATTATATTCCTTCCGAGCAGGCTTCAAACTTCCCTTTGTAATCAGATAAACATTACCAACTACAATCTGGTCAAAGAACTGATCAACCACCTCATTAAAACAAGTCACCCGAATCTCTCCACCGTCAGCATCAACGAGATCAAAGCTGAACACTTTCCCATCCCCACGTGTACTATTAAAACGCCTGAGCTCTCCCTTACTCGTCACCCTAACCTTAATTGTCCACCGACCCTGGTAAGGATTAAGAGCAGAGATTGGAATTGCCCTCGGAGGAGCTTCGTTCCTAGCCACTGGTCCACTGTTACCATACATCGATGGTGGTTGAGGCTGATGATAACCTGACTGAACTGGACGAGGATAAGCGGTTTGAGGAGCCGGAGCCCGAAATTGCTCTTGCCTAGAGCTTCCATAGCCTGCATTTGAGCTCCCATATGGTCTATTGGCCGGTGGTGTTTGCTCCTGCCTAGAGCTTCCATAACCTGCATTTGAGCTCCCATATGGTCTAGTGGACGGTGATGTTTGCTCCGGCCTAGAGCTTCCATAGCCTGCATTTGCGCTCCCGTATGGTCTAGCGGAAGGTGATGTTTCCGGGAAACCGGAACCGGAAGCAGCACCATACGCCGGTCTTTGACTAACTTGAGGTTGAGGTGAATTGGCAGCACCAAATCTCCCAGTGTTAAAGTCGTTACTTTGACGGCCACCAATCATTTCATTCTTTATAGCCTGTTCCTGCTCAAAACCACCAACGCGTTGCGTGTTTACAGCGACGGCTCCACCACGTTGGTCAATCGAGGTTTGCGCAGGATCATTAGGCCTCGTCATTTGTACATTTCCAATAGTATCGAGTCTCTCCGCGATAACATCCACATGCGAGACTAAAACAAGCCTGTCATCAGAAGATTCAAAACAAAACCATCATCTACCAATCATGAATCTAGGGTTTAAGGAAACAACCGATGAATTTGAGAAGGGATTGAGCAAAATGAGGCTTTTACCTTTTGTTCTGAACTTCGTTGCAGACGAAAACAGTGAGCCTCAAAATCGTCCCAACTTGAATATCCCCTTGTTTCACGAGAACGTTCAAGGGACTGTTGAATATTCCTTCTATCGTGCTGGTCCCGTCGGATAGCGCAATCCGATATCTCTCTCTGCCTGCTTCCGGATTTTGATTTGGTCCTTGAATCCTCGCTAGAACCATCTTCAGATCCGTCAATTGTAGAATCGGCATCATGTCCATCTCACTCCTCACTTGTCCACTCAACATTTTCGTAACCACTCCCGCCGTCAAATTCGCCGCCATCGGTTTCCGACGAACCCCCGAATTCGCACTGTAGAGAAACTCGATTCGAGAAGGAATATGGGATTCGAGATGGAGAAGCGTCTTTGATGGGATCGAATTGAATTTACAGAAACCCAGAGAGGAGGACAAACTGAATTTAGGGATTTTATGGAGCCCTATGTAAAAGGTGAGAGCTTTCGTCGACTTTTGAGAGGGAAACAAGAACGTTTTCGTGATTTTACACTATTAACATATCGGGTCTTGGATTTTATAAGAATTGTTATATATATACCACATTTCAAGTTAGCCCCAAACGAAATTTATATTCAATTGACTGACTGATTAAGAAGATTTTTAATGTACATCAGTACTTGTACAGTAAGAAGTTATCATGATTTAGGCGGGTTTTCAATTTTGTATATAATGAGATTAAATTGTAACAAAATGAGAATTAGGCGGGTAAAATTCTAAAAAGAGAGAAAAATGTGTCATTTAATGCGGAAAATCTCTTCGATAGTAACATAATACCGGTATTAATTAAGCTTACCGAGCAAGCTTCAGTATTTTTTCTGCTGACGTGGAGTATTTAGTGGGCCACGATCAAACTCCAGTAAACCATACCGTTAACAAAGAAGTTAACATTTTGAGGTCCAATTGATAAACGGCTGCTTGAATTTAAAATCATAATTTACAGTCAAAGTTTACATAACAAACTTTAAAATCCACATAGGAAGAAAAAAATAAGGGAACTTATGTAAGCCTTCGTAGTTTGCACAATTATGATATTTTACCGGATGTAACACGTTACCACATAAAATGACATAATGCAATTGCGTATTGTATTCTCTATTATCTAAACTTGTTTTCTCTAATTACCCTCTTATCACATGTAATTTTAAGAAACTAGATAGGTACTGACTTGAGTCCATACAACACTTGAAAAGAGATTGTTATAAATGAAATCAACAACTATGCTCAAAACAGAGTGATTTTAACAACAATTTTTTTTTTCTGAAAAGGTGAAATATGAGATACAAAGGCAAGCAATATAGCAGAGCTTAAGATTTCGCAAATCCGATCATCAGTGAACGCAGAACTTTATCGAGTTTTTCCTCTAAACTTATCAGTCTCAAGTCACACTGCAAGATCCCTGGAAATCAAAGAAATCAAAACCTTAGATGAAGAATCATTGACTAAACATTAAAAAGAAAAGTAGTTATAGTCTCATAAGATCAAAATCTCACCTGCATCTAGACGAGCTTGCCTTTTTAGTAAATCTCATCATCAGGTATCTCCGGAGTCAAGAACTTCATCGGATCTTTGCTAATCTCGTCATAGCTAAATCTCGATTTCACCCTATCAGGAACAGGTTCCAGAGGAATAATGCTGTCTCCATCGATAACTCCATCGATCAAACCATACTCAACCGCTTCGATCGGAGACATGTACCGGTCCCTATCAATATCCTTCAGAACCTGCTCAAACGACCGGCTGGTACATCCGGCGATGATGCTCGTGACATTGTTCTTGTTATGCATAACTTCTTTGGCTTGGATCTCAACATCTATAGCTTGACCACTCGCACCTCCAAGAGGCTGATGAATCATTATCCTCGTGTTGGGCATCGCAAAGCGCTTGCCTTTAGTTCCCGCACCAAGAATTATCGAAGCTGTTGATGCAGCTATGCCAAGAGCGATTGTTGAAACATCCGCTCTCACAAGCTGAACCACATCGTATATAGCCATTGTTGCACTAACCAAAAGAGATTAACATAAGTTAGATCATCTCAAGCAGACACTTTATAGATACCAGTCAAAGAGATTACTCATATCACACTGAATTCCGCAGAGAAGATGTAAACTTTCAGAATTCCATAGAGATTAACATCAATACAAGTATTAGGAAGAAGATACTGAATTATATACGTCACTTTCACATAGCAAATTAGCAGAGGAAACACTTCCACTGAACTGAAAATCAACCTTCGTATGGCAAAATTTATCAGATTGTTCAAAGCAAACTAGCTGCTGAGGAGACACTTCAATTGCACATTATATACTTAACTTTCACAAAATTTGATTACTCTGCAATGCCAACTAAAACCCTAAAGTCTGAATTTTTGTAGCTTAGAAAGAGCCTAGTCTTATCCAGAAGAAGTAGCAAATGAGTGAAGCATTTGCAATTAACGCAGATGAGAAGAAGTGAAATCGGGAATTTCACCTGAGGGAACCACCAGGGGAATTGATAAAGAGTTTGATGTCTTTCTTGGGGTCTTTAGCATCCAAGAGCAGCAATTGACTCATGATTGCGTCGGCGACGAAATCGTCGATACCGCTACCGAGGAAGACGATTCGCTCTCTAAGGAGAAGACCCATGACGTCGGACTCTGCGCCGCGAATAGCTGCCTCCTGCGTCTGCGACATCTCGATTGAAGCATTTGCGAATCTCAATGGCGACGGAGAAGTTCTGAGAGGTGCTGAGACGAGTTTGGTGGGTTTGAGGTGGAGATTGTTGGGTTTCGGAAATGAAGAAGAAGACGCAGAGGAAGAAGAAGACGAACTGAGTCTTGATGAAACGAGGGAAGGTTTGAGAGAAGATGACAGAGATAGGGTTCCCATGGCTGAAGCGAAGAAGAAGAGCTTTGCCAGAGAAATTGGGGAAAATGGATTTGATAACAATTTGCCAGAAGAGGAAAGAAGAAACACACATGACTAAAAGACCCGGTTAAAGATCCGGGTCGGGTTACAGTCCAAGAATCGCTGAATCGGAATGTTGGGCCGTGGCCCATTTTGTATGTCCTTCATCTGTGTTTCCACTGTAACTACTACACTCGAATTGGTGCAAATCATATTATTAATCATGTTTTACTGTCTGTTTATAGGTTTGTGTTCCCCTTTACTATCTTACAGCGGTGAGACTCATGCTTTCTTTCTTACATTTTTTGGTGTAGTATCTTTAACTGAACTAGGAGAGTATGGGTTCGGAAAACCACACTCAAAATTTATGTGTATTTTGTAGGGAGAAATTGCCTGTGGAATCAGAGGTTAGATTCTGATGTAAGTCGAATGATTCGTAGACAAATATTTGACGAAATCGGACTTAGGCTAATCGAATAAAGTGGTTACAAAACCGGCCTAAAAGACCATGTAAAACACTAGGATTCGACTAAGCAAAAGAGATGGAAATGAGGTGGTGGCTGCGCTCGTGTAACGAGCTGCCTACGTACCCTGTTTTAGGGATCAAGCCAGAACGTAGTTCGATTGTAAGTTGTTCTCTATTTCGAGTCGTTTTCTGAAGAGAAATGACCACGAAAAGAGCTAAAGGGTGTGAAGATGACGATAAATCTCAGGTTATCGGAGTGATCCGAAGGTAAGAGATTACGTCGAACTTCTGCCGGAAGTGATTTCCGGCTAGAAAGATCAGGGCTTTCTGGGATTATCTCAAAGATCAAGGATAAGATCGAAGAGAAAAGATATGAGAATATCTCAAGACGAAGAAGAAGAACTTCACTCTGTTTCTGCTGTGAAAAGATGATGAGAAGAACTTGTGTAGTGATTTTATCAAAGGAATTCGTTTCTCAGAAATGAAAGGAACTTATGCCTTGTGATCAAGAATCGTCCTCCTTTTATAGCTCCGAAGTAGATCGCAACCTCCTCCGCGTATCTCGTCCACGTGCAACTACCGATCCCGCTATTTCCGGATCTGAACATCGAAGCGAGATTCTCGTTTGACTCGTTCAAACTCAGCTTGCGGACTTGACTCCGTCGAGCTAGAGCTCGACTTCGTCTTCACAAGTAGCTCGGACAGTAAACAGCTGGATTTTGGACAAGGATACTTGGTGGGCTCGAGGTCATTTTACTGGGCCTGAGTGGACTTATCTTGACCTTAGGACTTAGGTGATGGGCCTTATGGGCCGGATTTCTGGAGGGAAATCCAGGTCCAACAGAGAGCACCCGCGCAATGCGCGGATTTCCATTTCTAAAAAGTTATTGTTATTCTTAATATTATTTTGTTTTGTTTAAATATCACTATTGATAAATTATATGCAGGAAAAGTTAATTTTGGAATAGGAGCTGACTTCTTTTAATGTAGTATAAGACTTCTAAATGGAGCTCTTTAACAATTTTAATGATAAAAATATTAATACATTAAGTTAAGAGTTTTTCTATGAAATTTTAGTTCCACATTGGCCATTGTGGACTGGGGAGTTCTTTAAAAATTAATTCTTTTTTTTTTCAAACTTTTTTCAATCTTATTATATAAAGCTGGATGCGCACGACGTGGTTGCGACACGTAGGATTTTTATAAAATTCAGGATCGCGACATGTGTCACTTTTAAGTTTATGTCCGTTAAGATCGTGACACGTGTCTTAGAAAAAAAGAGAACTTAAAAAAAAAATTCCAGATAAATGTTAATTAAAAAAAACGAAATTTAATTTAATCTATTATATCAAAAAGGAAAAAATAATATTTGCCATATCCAAACAGAAAAAGGTTTCCCATTCATCAAATTTTTTATTATATAAAGTTGGATGCTTTTAGATAAAGGAATTTAAAAAAAAAATTAATCCATTACAGTTAAAAGAAATAAAAATATATTTGTCATATCCTAATAGAGAAAGGTTTTCCATTCATCAAATTAATATTATCCAAACAAATAATAAAATCAAAATAATGTAATAAATAAAATCCTATTTGTATAATGTTATGTAATCAAATTAATATTATCCAAACAAATAATAAAATCAAAATAATGTAATAAATAAAATCCTATTTGTATAATGAAATAAATAATGTTATGTAAACTAAATTTCATATAACTGAATAGGTTACTTGAATCCCTATAAAAGAGAGTCAAAGTTTCTCAATCATAAATTCATCAAAGCAAATTCATCAGATCCCTTTGATTCTATTTCTCCAATTTAAAAATCATGTTTTTGAAGTTTTGCGATACATATGATTTTTATAACTCACAAAATTGTGACATTTGTTTTAGAAAAAAAAAATTATGAAAGTATGAAGATCGTAACATGTGTCATAGAATAAAAATAATAAAAAATTAATATGTATAAGACTAAATAAAAATTAGAAAATCAGATAAAAATAATTAAAATGAAAAAATAATAAATCCATTAAAAGTAATAAAAAAACAGAAAACAAATAATTTAAATTCTTTTGTTACATCTATTAAGAAAAGGAAAAAAATGCATTTCGAAAAGGAAAAATATCAATATATATTATTTATAATGGTATGAGGCAAAAACAAAATTGAGAAAGAAAAAATATAAATAGAAAACTAACAAAATAATATTCAAGCAATTAACTAAAATTAAAAAATTATAATCGATATTCTAATTTTAAATAGTTTGATTTTCAATTTTTGTTAGGTAAAAAAAATTGAAATAAAGATTTCATCAATTAAAATCTCTTGAATGGAATAATAAAAGTTTGATTAATTAATCAGTTGATCAGATTTAGACATGTGTAAGTGTTTATGTATTGGATAATATTAAAACAAATTAATTCATTTTGTCATATCATAAATTCAAAAGAAAAATCAATTATAATAAAAATGTAAAAGTATTACCAATTTTATTTTATTTAAATATTTTTATCGGGTTTTCAATATTATTTTGTTTACGTTTAAAAATGATCAAATTTTGTTTAATATTTTCCATGCTTTTATTATAAAATCTTAAAATATACCCGCGTATACGCGGGCCTTAATCTAGTTATATATAAAGACAAACATCACAGAGAAAACAAATAAAAACATGATGAATTGGATCTATTTGAGTAAGTTTGCAACATCTGTATGTTGAAGTGGTTTCCAAGATTCAACACTCCAAAAGCTTTGTCTCAATTCATATGTTTACTCTTATTCTTAAATAGGCGACGGAATAGAAATATCAAGCAATTAGCATTAACGGTTATATCGTAAAGGTATCTAACCAAATCCTATCCATGAATTTTTACAAACAAATTAGAGTGTATAGACACACAAAAATATCAAACATATACAAAATGCAATAGAATTTGTTTATATTACAGGAGCAGGTGCTTGTGCTTTTCTGAGGTTGTTCCACGTTTACACTACTTGCTGACTGAAACGTGGTTCCTCCACTCTAAAACACAAGTAGAGTAAAAGTTTACGGTTATAGTTTAGCAAGTAGATGAAACAACCGATGCCATTACACTGATGAAAAACGTTATTACTTACCGAGTGTCTTTAGGATCTGGTTCCATAAAAGATTTTGCCTCCCTTACAACATTTGCTCCGTAGCAATTATGGCAGCAAGGGTGACAGATCATGACCGTGAATAATCATTCGTTGTTCCATTTAACATGTTTAGTTGATAGAAGTCCAGCAACTAATAGGAGTCTAACGAGATACGTCTTAATTAGTTAGTACCTTTATCGACAAAGGCTTTCTAAGGCGGGAAGAAGCATTAATCTGAGAAAGCTAGCGCATTGTTGAAACTCTCGTTGTGCTCCTGAAGCAGATTCCAGCAAAAGAACAATGTCAAAATAAAGGAACCATCTTTTACTTCAACAACAACATACATATATATATAGCATCTCAACATGCTTTTGCATGCAGAAGGAAAATCAAAAACAGAGATTAAGAAGAATGGTTTTGTATATATATGTACCCAGGAGCGCTCTCGGATGCTTTCTGCTCTGAAGACGGAGTACTTCGCGCCTGCGTCTTCTCAGCAGACGTCGCAGCTGCTTTAAGAACTGCAACAAGAAGAAGACATAAGCCAAATTCACCAAACAGTCCAGGAGATAGAATCTGTATTTCTCTGAAGCTAATCACAAGCACTCTCAAAGAATCAATCTTATGATACTACTTTCTTTTTTCGAGCTCTCTATTGTGTTTTATTGTTATAAAGTGAAAGAAACCAATACAAGAATTGCCCCTAAAAAGTGATACTTTACGAAGTTATGAACACTAAACTTCAAAAAACTGATAAATCATCTCAAATCTAATGAACATACCGTGAATCGGACAAGGGTTTTCTGCTCTTGAACAACAACCCTTACAAGATTGAAACGGACACCTGCGTTGATAACATTCAATCAATAAACCAAAATCACTCGCTGTCAATTTTGTCGAAAGGTTGATACTTTCAGTGTAAACAGAAGTTGGAAGTTGGAATCTAAAGCTCAAAAGTCAAAACTTTAACAAGCCCAGAAGAAGAAAAGGAGAATAGATTCATCTCCCAAAACCATGGGAGAAAACCCAAATTCTGACACTTATAAACCCTAAATTATAGCAAAACAATAGCATACAGAAGAAATTCAATCCCAATCTGATTAAAGATTCATGAATTAGGCTCTGATTTACATACTCAGATTTCAAAGTCGAATTCCAAGATGTAATAAATCTAATCCTCCGACGAGACAATGCGTAGAAGAGAAAAAGAGAGATACCTGGAGCGAGCGACGTTGCCGCATTGGATACACTTGGGCTTAACCTTGTTAAGACGACGAAGAGTTTTGGGAGGCGGCTCGTCAAACGGACCGAGTCGACGGGGAAGAGAGGAGACGGGTTAACCTCTTTTGTTTTGTAATAACTTTTTTTATAAAAAAAAATATTCCAAAACGACGTCGTTTTGGAGTCATCAAGAGAGAAAAAAAAAGTTTTGTGGAAAAGCTGATGTGACACTCTCTAGGAGTGCTGATATGTCGCAGCTGGAAAATGTCACAAGCACTTTCAATTATATAGATTATTCAAACATGTTAAACTCTTTCCAAATGGAACTACTAGTGAGATCTACAAATTTATTATCATAGATAAGGTCATAGACTTTTCTATATCATCTTATTGTCTTACCTATGATTACAGTTATGAAATTCATATGTTTTATTTTTTCCATCAAGTTAGGCATATTTCCAGCTTTTCACTTGCCTATGTAAATAATGAATTGTAGTATAATCCTTTTATTTTTGAAAAAATTCTAATAATGTAATGCAAGCTCATGGAAATGGAATGAAATATTTTAGTTTCTTTTGTTTGTTTATCTTATCCTAGTTTTAGGAGGATTTGTGTTTCAGAGGATTTGTGTTTCAGATTGATTTTCTCAAATACAGAGTTGAGTACTTGAAAAACAAACTGAACATCTTATAACATGTTTACTCAAAGTGGTTAGAGTTATACCATAAGTCTCGTTTTTTTTTTTTTTTTTTTTTTTTGCTTGTATTAGTGTATATCATTGGAATTATTAATACTATATTCATTTTCTTCTATTAGGTTGTTGCAAGCTCCAATTTTTGCACCAATTGAGCTCCAAATTATTTCTTACCGAAAATGAACTATCCCAGCTTTTAGGCATTCAGCTGAATCAATGCAAGGCTAGGAGGGATAGTCCTTATTGTAAGTATTACCAAAAAGATCATTAATATAGAAACTTCATATAAAAGATTTTGTGTTAGATAGACAAATAACTAAAATTTTAAATAATGAATTTTATACATATATACACAAGCATGTCGAAAGGTTGTTAATTATGTTTTTGCATACTTTGGTTTATAACTTTTAATAATTAGCCAATTAATATTTATAAAAATAGATTTGGTAGTCGTCATGTAAAGAATAGGCCATTGAAGGATCAATATCAACATTGGTATTGCATGTGCCATCTAAGACTCAAACTATGAATTCGATAACGAAATTTGATTCCAAACCGTTTGTATTACTAATTTACTATCCAATGCACAAAAAGAAGGTACGCTGTAAAGTGTTGATGGAACCAAACATCAAATTGTTTATGGAAAGTTTTGATATCAATTGATATTGATCCAAAGTATATCAAGACTTTGGTATGCCATTTCAAAATAATGGTAAATTCAAAACACAACTAAACCAAAATATAATTGATTTTTTCATTTTTTATTCGAACTTTATATAAAAATGTGAAATAAAACAAAAGTCTATTATTTCATAACATAAAACGAAAAGAAAACACTCGTGATATTAATCATGTTTTACTGTCTGTTTATTATTTTATATACATATATAAACACATACATATTCGTACTTGGCAAATATGTTGAACACACTATACAAAAAAACAACAAAGTATGGAAAAAAAATCAGCCTTTATGTAATTTCACACAAACAAGAAAAATGACCAAACAGACCAATACAAACAAAAGAAAGAAGATAGTATTGTTGATATTCTTTTAACTTTCTTCATCGGTTTTCTTGGTCTTCTCAATCTCAAGCAAATAGATTCTCTCAGCTTCTGGTACAGCCATTGTTAACGCTCGAAGTCTGTGGTTCAAGTCATCAAGCTTGTTCAATAACCTATCGTTCGTGAACATTCCCATACAAACGCTCGTGATAGTGTCCCAACTTTCGATCAAAGGCAAACCAATTATCACAGCCGATCCTATAGTTCCCCAAGCTACAGCCACAATTGCCCAGAACCAGAAATATCCTCTGCTGAATACACCTGTAAAATTTTATAATTTTCATTCAAGTTTCATGCCATAAGTTCTAATTGGTAACTAATTGTTTATCACTAACCTAAACGAGAGTGAGAAATATTATAATATATCAAGTTTTGTTTCATTTATATGGGAAGACTTACGTGCTGGTAAAGAGAGAATTGGCCAAATGACAACAATGAGGAGAGTGAAGACAAGACCCCATTTCACAATCCAAGCTTTGGCTCTTCTCAGCTTCTCTTCTCTTAGCTCCTCCGCAGGAACATCAGTATCGTCCCCTGAAGCATCAGCTTCCACCACTTTTATCTCCCTCGTCGTTGACCAATCGTAATTCTGTGGCCGGACTAGACTACACACCGCATGGATCAACCCTCCTTCATATGTAAACGTACGGACCAAACCAAACCAAAAGTTTATCAACATTTTCACACATATGTAAACGTACGTACGGACCAAAACCAAAAGTCTATTAACTGGTTAGGGTTGAACATTTTGAACTAAACCGAGCAGAAAAACTGAAATGCCAAAAGCAACTATATAGAATCCTGACCTGTTAGAATAGCGACGAGGTTACCAGCTAACATGGGAGCATTTCTCCCAGTGGAGTCCAGATCAACACGTCCGTACTGTATCTTTGCGGTTGATAACCAAGTAACGATCCCAAGAACACAGCCAGAGATCGACCCAAGAATCGCACCAAAAGCATTAGCTTTGCTCCACAAGAGCATGAACGCAATGGGGATAACCGCAGAGCCAATGAGCACTCCCATCGCCAGATACATCCATCCTAGCGAAACACCGGCTTTGTTCAAGATCACTGCAAGAATCCCCATGAAACATCCGAATCCGAGAACCGCGGATCTTGAGATTCTCAAGATTTGTTTACCGGTAGCTCTAGGGTTTATGTATGTTCGGTAGATGTCGTAAGTGAAGAGCGATGAGACCGCGATTAGCTCGGAAGATCCAGCTGATGTTACAGCCCTGTGGACAACAAAGACCGTGAAGATCTGATCATGACTAGCTTTCTTGTTATATGCACTTAAAACAATTTCTTGCGTGCAAAGCAAGACTTATAAACACAAGGGTAAAATATTGGACAATCATGGATTTTGGTAGGGATGCGCATGAATGAACCAAAACCTGATTGAGTTAATTTAAAAAAATGGATCAAAGTGAGTTCAAGCAACCCTTTATCATATTAAGTCGGATGTCGAACAGAATCGAAAAAAAAAAACTTTTATTGTGTAGCAAATTATTAGGTTTGAGTTTAACCAAAATAAAACAATAGACCCAAATTAAACCAAACACATCTAAGTCATACCAAATAATGGAACAATGATCAAAACTTGTTTAAGATATGATCTAGAAAGAGTACTTACATGAAGAGCATAGTGAGAAGAAGCAAGGATCCTGATTTACCCATGAGAGCAATGGCTGTAGCAGGCGGAACCAGACCTCGGTTAGCCTCATCCGCGGTTATAGGCAAGTCGAGGGCTAGTGCACCGAGGCCTAACGAGGTGGCTAGAGAGAAAGGCACAGCGAACCACACGAGTCCACCAAGCAAATACCCTTTGTGAGTTGATGAAGGTCGAGCAGCTATTGCACTCACCCAATAACCCTACAAAATTAAATAACATAATGAAAATTTTCGTTAGATGACAAATGTTTTGATCATCAATGTGATTAATACATTTTACCCTATAAATATGTTTTTTTTAATACGGCTCTGCTATTTCTTTAACTTAAAGAAATCTCACATTATCGACGAAGACCGTGCCGAAATTCCCGACAATGTTGATAAGACCGAAGACAGCACCACCAGAGCTCAACATGGTGAGGTAAGAGCCTTTGTAGTTACCGCCAACCGGACCACAAGCTTGGTCGTGGTGTGAGAGTGGCTCAGTGCATGTCCTTGACTTAGCCGCCATATCTCTTAGCCGATCATAGACCACAGACGGACTCCCAAGCTCACTACTTGAAGTATAGACCAGAAACACAAAGACAACTAGAACCACGTGAACTGAAAATAAAAGAAGCAAACATGGAAAAAACCATTAGTAATTAACTTCCTATTTTTGGGTAATTGTTCGCAGAAGTATCATTTTAAAATGATTACTTTACCTATGACGGAATGAACGTAGCTTGCGAGGAAAGTAGCTTTAAGTCCACCGGCCAAAGTATAGACAACGACGCCGAGAGGGATGAGAAAGCTCGCCGCATATATATTCACTCCGGTGAGAGCATTCACCACAGCGGAACCGCCAAGCAAGAGCATCGCCGTTACTACGACATTTGTCGCCAGGCAAAACACCAAGAATACTATATGTGTTGTGGTTCCCCAACTAATGCAATCGAAAACATACAAAACCAAATTAACCTCAAACTTGATTATATATATGCTCGAGTAGTTCAATTGACTTGGTTTCATTTCGATGTTGTTTATTCAATTTGATTTTTTTTTCTATAGCATATACATATCGTTTTAAAAAATATATATTCTTTCGCTCGGTTTTATCCACATAGTCCGACTTGGTTTAAGTGTCCGTTTTTATTGAAAACACAATGATGTAATAAACCGAATAAAAAGTGAGATTTTATGTACCGAGCCTTCACGATTTCGCAGACGGTGTGAGCATTAGGAGCTTTTCTTTTGATTTCAATGGCCATCACACCAAACAAGAGTACCTACTTGTTCACCATCGATTATTCGGAAGAGTCATCAATTATGCATATAGAAACAAAACAATACAAAAACTCATATATACATGTATTATGTAGTTTTGTTTTGGAATTAACCTGTATGGTGGCTCCACTAGCGTACCAAAACGGTCCACTAACACCATACCGCCATGCGACGTTTGAACTTTGAAGTATGGTCGCAGCCCATGTCCACTTCCCAACCATCGACCAACAAATACTAATCAATTACTAGTTGTAACCAATTTTAAACAGCTAAAATACATAAACCTATTATATTCGAAATTATGAAGTTATAAATGAGAGACTTAAGAGTTAAAATCATAAATTTACCTGTGACACAATGACACTTGCAATGAGTCCTGTCTTAACGTTTCTTCCGGCTGTATTGAACCATTCCGAAGTATGTTGAGCGCCCACGTATCGTTTTTCTAACCATACCTTCATTCATTTTTTCATAATTTTTTCATTATGGACCTAATTAGAAAAAATATATTTTTTATGATTTTTTTTTTTGGTCGTGTATTTTTTATGATTTTAGTGAACTACTAGGTTGAATAACCGTGTTTAAATTTTAATCCTTATGTTCTGCTTTATTTTAGATAGTTATAGGTCGTCGAAAAAGAAAAAGATAGCTATCCATATAGGTATTGGATTTTAACATGTATCTAAATATAGATTCGATTTACAAAATCAGTTTTACTATAGGAAAATTTCGTTTAAATAATAGCTATTACCAGTGCCGTCCGAAGGGTTTTCGGGGCCTAAAGCAAAAAGTTTAAATAAACATTTTCTATGTTTTTTAACAACAATTATAACTTAATTTTAAAAGATTGTTAGTTATTAAATAAAAACACATTTACTTTGGAAGGAGGTTTCGAACTTGTGTTGGTTCAATAAACATTCTTCATTCTATCTTTAAACCATTACACTACTAAAGACTTTTGCAAATTGGGGGCCTTAAAATTGTATAATATTTTGGGGGGCTTGAGGCTGATGCATTTTCTATTACATGGTAAGCACGCCCCTGGCTATTACTCCTAAATAATATAGCACTCGTCCTTAAGAAAAAATTAGAAGGAAAAAGAAATGAAAAATCCTTACTAACATCTAGGCTTGGGAGTGAACGTTGAAAAGTACTATCGTTTGCTTTATTTTCTAAAACAAACTTATTTGTGGCCACGAG